CCACTCACTTTGCAGTATTTTGTTATAGCAGTCTCCCCTGACTAAGATACTAGTAATCAGTGGAATGATACTAAAACAAAAATAGAAACATTAGTCACCAAATCATTAAACATTAAAAAATATTAAAAACATTAAAAAACAAAAAGGGTTTTGGGCAGAGGTGATAAAACTTTCCTAGAAGGCATTTTGGCAAAATTTAAAGCATTCGACTTATCATCTGTGTTTAACTTGGTGGTTTCACTTCTAGACATTTACCCTTAGGGAAGTATGTCATAATATTGGTACAGTGCTGTTCATCCCATTAGAAAATTAAAAATACTTTTCATTATCTATCAATAGAGATATTGCAAAAGGACTAGAAGGAACTCCTGCTGACTCTGAAGGGCCAGAAAGAATTTTTATTCACTTACTTAGCCCTAGACTTACTTAGCTGCTACTCTGATTCTGTCTGTAATGCTGATCGAATGGTCAGGCTCTTTGAAAGTAACTGCATCCCATAGCAAAGTGCAAGATTGTTTCTAGGAACACACAAAAAGGCACAGTATCTGATAAGATAAAAGTAATAAGTTTGTCATCTAGGAAAATAACTAGGAGTGCAAAGCAGCAGGAAAATATGATTTACAACAGTCAACACTGACCCAGAAATTACATATGGTGAGTAGTACAAGAAACTTGAGGGCTGGGGATGTGGCTCAAGCGGTAGCGCGCTCTCCTGGCATGCGTGCAGCCCGGGTTCGATCCTCAGCACCACATACAAACAAAAAAGATGTTGTGTCCACCAAAAACTAAAAAAATAAATAAATATTAAAAAAAAAAAAAAAGAAACTTGAAACCAGTTACTGTAACTATTTCATATGTCTAGAGGCTAGAGAAAAGATTGAATAAGTTAAGTATAGACAGACACACAAAAAAAGACCCCGACTGAACCACAGCAGCTCTCTCATTGGAAACAGTTCCTGCTAGAAGTCTGGGATGTGAGAGGGAAACCTTGGAATTCTCTACCTAGTACAGTCTCTTGGATACAAAGATGAAATATCCAAAAACACAAATACTCTATGTCTGTAGGCAACCACTAAAGAAATTTTAAAGAAAGTGTTTCAGGCAGAAAGAAAATGGTACCAGCTGGAAATTTGTATCTACACAAAGGATTTGAAAGCAGCAGGAATGGTGATTATTTTGTCAAGACATGGCAAACGTAGAAGACCCTCTTATTCTTAATTTTTTTAGAAGACCTGAATTAACCTAAGTTTTGAAAGGGCTTAATTTAAAAGATCATCTTGGTGTTCTAAAGCAAGATAGTGTATTTTGGGGTTTGTAGCACATGTAAGTGGAATGTGTGACAGTCATGGCATGATGGCTAGAAGAACAGAAATGGAAGTGCACTGGAGACAGAGGAGTGCCGCCCACCCCGAAGAGAGGAGGGTGACTGTCCCAATCCCAGAATGTGCAAATGCCACTTTACAGTGAATTGGGTCTTCACTGCTGTGGTCAAGCTCAGGGTTTTTAGATCATCCTGGGGTATCCCCATGGGCACTAGGTGAAATAGCACGTGTCCTTATAAAAAGAAGGCAGAGGGAGTTTTACTCACGGAGAAGGCCATCTGAAGATGGAGCAGAGAGGTTTGAAGGCATGGACCTTAAGGTTGGAATGATGTGCTAAGCCACAGAATGCTGGCAGCCAGCCACCAAAGCAAAAAAAGGCAGGCAGAGATTCTTCCCGGAGCCTGTGGAGGGAGAATGGTACCCCTTGATTTCAGCTCATTGATGTTGATTTTGGACTCTGGTCTTTAGAACTGTAGAACTGTGAAAGTGTGTGTGTGTGTGTGTGTGTGTATTTTTTTTTGGTTGGTTTGTTGAGATTCAAATCATACAAAGTATTTTCTCTGACCTTTAACATCATTGAATTGGAATCTATTTCAGAGAAATAATCTAGAAGAGCCCCAAATATGTGGGAAACAGCATGTTTCCACGTGGTCCATGGGTCACTGAAATTAAAAGGAAAATTCAATGTCTTTTGAATTGATCAAAAATAAAAGTGATGCAAACTTGCTAGATGCTGTGAAACAATAATAAAGGGAAATTTAAAGCATTGAATGACTAATTTTAGAACAGAAAGGATCATACTGACCTCCCACCTTAGAAGTTAAAAAAGATGAGCAAGTAGAATCCAAAGTTATCAGAAGAGTGAACTTAATAAAGTTAAGAGCAGAGGTCCGGGAAAGAGCAAGCAGAAAAATGCATAGCAGATCAGTAAAACTGAAAACTGGTTCTTTCAGAGAACATCAATAGATGTGTAAGACTGACTGATAGGGAAAAAAGAACTAAGGCACAAATTACCAGTATTAAGGCTGAGGAAGATGGCATTAGTCCTATAGTTATTAAAAGGATTATATTGGGAGGCTGGATTGTGGTTCAGTGATTGAGTGCTTGCCTAGCATGTGTAAGGCACCAGGTTCGATCGATCCCCAGCACCACATAAAATAAATAAAAAGGTGTTCATCTACAACTAAAAAAAAATATTTAAAGGATTATGTGGGGGCTGGGGTTGTAGCTCAGTGGTAGAGCACTTGTCTTGCATATGTGAGGCATGGGTTCGATTCTCCGCACCACATAAAAATAAATAAAGATATTATGTCCAGGGCTGGGATTGTGGCTCAGTGGTAGAGCGCTCGCCTAGCATGGGCGGGACCTGGGTTCAATTCTCAGCACCACATAAAAATAAAGGCATTGTGTTGTGTCCATCTACAAAAAAGATACATGGTGCATGGCCCATCAGCCTTTCCCTCCTTTCTCTCTCTCTCTCTCTCTCCCCCTCCCTCCCCCTCCCTCCCCCTCTCTCTTTAAAAAAAAGATATTATGTCATCTATTACTAAAAAAAAATTAAAAATGATTATATGGGAATATTTGAACAATTTTATGCCACTCAACTTGGCAACTTGAATGAAATTGGGTAATTTCCTTGAAAGACTACTGTAGGTATCAAGAAGAAATAGAGCTGGGCATGGTGGCGCATGCCTGTAATCCCAGCAGCTAGGGAAGCTGAGACAGGATTGTGGATTCAAAGCCAGCCTCAGCAACAGTGAGGCGCTAAGCAACTCAGTGAGACCCTGCTCTAAATAAAATACAAAATAGGGCTGGGGATGTAGTTCAGTGGTCCAGTGTCCCAAAGTTCAATCCCCAGAACCAAAAAAAAGAAGAAATAAAAAACCTGATTAGCTCTATATCTATTTTATATTTAAAAATCAGTAGTTGATTAGTTGGAAAGAGTATATGAACTTCTTCATCTGTCAGTTTTATGAAATCTAAGTGTATATAAGATTTCCAATGAAAATTCAGTGTCTGTATTGAGATATGCTGTAAAAAAGCTTGTTTTATATATCAGTAATTTCATGTTGGCTGCATATTGAAATACTGTTCTGCATTGGATTCGACAAAGGGGAATGAAGGGAAGGGAAGGGAGGATAGTAACAGGAAAGACAGTAGAATCAATCAGACATTACTATCCTGTGTTTATAATGAATACATGTAACATGAGTTACATGTGTAACTCCACATCATGTACAACTACAATAACAGGAACTGTACTCCATGTATGTATGATATGTCAAAATACATTCCACTGTCATGTACAAAGAAGGCAATCCAATACTATTCTGGATGTTTTGGGTTAAATGAAATGTTAGAAGAGTCTTGCCTGTGTGCTTTTCATTTTGATGTGACTACACAAAGTGTGAGATCATACTTGGAACTCCTGACAGCTGTGCTGACAGCATTGCTTTGGAGCACAGGGTCTGAATGTTCTAGCTCATCAGAGACCTTCCCTCCATAGCTCTTTGTTCATGGCTGTATTCCTGTAGACAAGGGAAGTGTTGCTAAGTGGGAGTCTCGGGCTTGGTCTTGTGTTTTTGTTGATCATAGAATTGAACAGCTGGATGCCATGTAGCTTGACTGTGCAGTCTTGCTCACCCTTAGACTCATGACTGTCTTCTGCCTGCCAGTAGGAATTACTACTTAGGGATAAAGGGGGAGGAGGCTTTCAGGGAACTTTTTAGGTTGAGTTGCTGGGACATCAATCTGCTTAGTGTTTCAGGAATAACATAGCCCTTATGTCCTGGGGTTGCTTCCACCCCTGTGTTGGGATACCTGAGTTTCAGGTGCATGGCCCATCAGCCTTTCCCTCCATAGCTGGGTTTAGTTGGTTGGATCATCTCAGCCTAAACAGTTCACAGTGGCCACAATCCAGTTTTTGTGACAGTGGTATCCTGTCTGGTGCTACAGAGTCAGTTTGACCATGATCAGATGCATTCTTTTTTTTTTTTTTTATTTTATTTATTTATTAGTTTTCCGGCAGACACAACATCTTTGTTTGTATGTGGTGTTGAGGATCGAACCCGGCCCGCACGCATGCCAGGCGAGCGCGCTACCGCTTGAGCCACATCCCCAGCCCCATGATCAGATGCATTCTACAGTGAAATATGGTTATATTCTGAAGCATATTAAGAGTGAGATGGAAAAGGAAGAGAAGAGATAGATTGTTACACTGATTATCAGAGTAAAGTTACCTTTTGGCAGAGACAGGTGGCTTTCTGGGATTTAATGGTCAGAAGCAGTGTCTCTTAAGGTTTTTAAAATAAAACTTCAAAGAAAAAATGTGATTTGGATTGCAAGTATATTCTCTTCTTTTGTTAATAAATTATTTTAGAATAGTTTCAGATTTATAGAAACATTTCAAGAGCATAGGAAGTTCCATGTACCCTACATCTAATTAGTTTGGTTGATTAGCATCTTACATTAGTGTGGTGCAGTTTTCACAATTAGTGAGTCAGTTTTGATGCACTATTAACTGAAGTCCAACTTCATTCAATTTTCCTTAATTTTTATGTAATCTCCCTTTTCTGTTCCAGAATCCTACCCAGGATAACGAATCCTTTACTACGTTTTGTTGCCATGTCTCCTTAGGTTCCTTTTGGTTGTGACAATTTCTTTTCTTCTTTTACTTAGAAATTCTCCAGAATTTCAGAAACTTCTGGGCATCGCTATGGAACTTTTCCTGCTGTGCAGTGATGATGCGGAGTCAGATGTCAGGATGGTGGCTGACGAATGCCTGAACAAAGTTATCAAAGTAAGAACTGTGGATGTGATCATGGGCCAAGAGAAGACGCCATCAGGTAGTCTCTGTGTCTTAGTGGCCTGTTCTTAGGATATCTGCACTTCTTCCATTCTTGGAGTGTGGTTGTCAGGACACAGATGGGGAGAAAGGAGATTCTGGCATGGGGTAATATAGCCAGGACACCCAGTGGTGCTGGGTGCTGGCAGTGGTGCTGGGAAAGACGAGGAGAGAGATGGGCCCCTGACTTGTTCTGTCACTGCTTCCTGATGCAGAGCCTGTGCAGACCCCGCAGCTGTAATCCAGTGTTCCTTCTTTGTTTTCTGCTGCCATGGAAAATTAAAGTCCTTCTTCCATGCACTAATTTTTACTGTATTGCAAAACTGTCTGTGTTTTTATCCTTCCCTCTTCCTCTTCATTAGTCCCCAACCTGTCCTGGTCCACTGATTCCAGACCACCTTTGCCTTTGCCAGTGGGCCTTTTGAATTGTGGGTCCAGAATTAAATATTGTTCCACACAGGCTGACCAGCACTGAGGAGGGCTCTTTAACATAGCTCTCTACACTTCTCCAAAAGCTGCTGCCTGATGATGGTGAGGAAGAGCATGTTTCTTGTTCCCCTCTTTGCAGGAATCCCTGCTCATTGGTAGTTCTTCCTCTTTTTTCCTTACCTGACATTTAGAAAGGACTTTGAGAAGAGGCGCCATCTCTTCTCTGTCCTGGAAGACTATCTTGCAAGTAATACTTGCTTGAATGGAACCAGGAACTCCAGCTTACACAGTCATTTCCTTTCCCATTAGGGTCTTTGAGTAGATCTGTTCCTTGGTCTCTTCAGAGTCTTTTTTTGCAGAGTAAATTTTACTTTTACCAAATAGTTATCCTCTCCTTTCCCTCGTGGTCCTGCCTTCCTGAGGAAGGGTTGTCACCCTGTTACTCCTGTCGAGGCTACTGAGCATTGTTGCCAGACTGAGAGCACAGAGAGATCTGCATTAGATCTTTGCTCTGACACTTCCTAATGGAACAACCGTTATACTTAAAAAATCACTAGTTGCTTAGTTGGAAAGAGTATAACTGACAACATAGCTGTCAGGAGTTCCAAGTGTGATCTCACACTTTGTGTAGTCACATCAAAGCACACAGGCAAGACTCTTCTAACATTTAACCCAATACATCCAGAATAGTATTTCCTTCTTCTTACATGACAGTGGAATGTATTTTGACATATCATACATACATGGGGTATAATTCCTATTATTGTAGTATATGATGTGGAGTTACGCTAGTCTATGTATTCATATATAAATGGGAGCAGACAGAGTTTTTGTATTGAGTATAGGAGTGTGTGTGTGTGTGTGAACTGCCACATACTGGATCCTCAAGGTGGTAAGTATTTTTATGAGTAATGAAATTCTCACACTATTCCCCAGCGAGGTGGAAGGCATTGCTTTCTGTCTTGTGTTACATGTTGCATGGATCCGTGGAGTTCTGCTGCCCCAGGAATCATTCCCACCTGGCTGCATACAGTCTCTTGGCTAGCTCAGCTTTTTGTGGTCAGGATGTGGCTTCTCTGTAGCCTGGGTTCTGGCTCCCATTTCCCAGGCAGACTTTGGGAGATCCCTCTGTTGTCTCTAGTAGTCACTGTGCCTTCCCCCTGCACCTGCTCTTTGTGCCTGAGCTTGCCCCTTGCCTCCTATGGTGGCCTAATGGTCAGTTTCACCAGTTCTGTGTGCATGGTACTGTGTCACCCTTTTGCAGGTGGTGTTCCTCAACATGTTTGCAGATGTCCTGTTTGAGTTCTGTTTGCTTCTCCAGGCCTAGATACCCTTGGTTTCTTTTCTTTTTTTTTAAATTTTTCCCACTGGCAGGACCAGCTGGGCTTTTCCTGATATTTGAATTCTTGGTCTGTGATCCTCAGGGTCAGAAAACCTTAAAAGAGGGCTGTTGTAGGTTCCCTTATTCATGTAAGTCGGGGGCTAGGGGAACAGAACAGAATGACCCCAGATTGCTCACATGGGCACCATTCCATTTTTTTAAAATATTATTTTGTAATTGTAGATGGACACTCTCTCTCTCTCTCTCTCTATATATATATATATATATATAATGTGGTGCTGAGGATTGAACCAGTGCTTTACACATGCGAGGCAAGCGCTCTATCACTGAGCTACAACCCCAGCCCTGGGCACTGTTCCATTTTAAGACTGTCTTGCTTAGAGTCTGCTGCCAGAACTGCTGGTCACAGTGACTTGATGTCTGCAAGCAAGAGCCCTGGCTTGTAGTTTTAGGTTCCGCTTCTTTTTGCCTCTCTTCTTTTCCCTTCTTTCTTCTAGTTTCAGTCTCCCAGTGCAGAGATTCCAGATTCTCGTGGTACACCTCTGAACATAAGATAAGCTCAGTCTCTCTTATTTTCTTCCTTTTGCTTAAAGTTGGCTTCTCAGATTTCTGCCTTCTAAAATACTGTAGTCATCAGGTTCCCATGGCACAAAGTGGGGTCAGGATCCAGCTAGACTTGCTTTTACTGTGGCAGAGGGAAGGGCAGGCTGGGAGAATGTAGGTGACCCCAGGCAGGTCTGAGGGATGGGCAGGAATGCAGGAATGGTCACCTACCAGTCAGATCCTGGACCTTTGTCTCCTCTTGAGAATTGTTGTATACATTTTCTAAGGATCAGATTGTAGCCTAAGAACTTTGGAACATTTTGCTTGTCATTTCTGTAGAAAATGTATTGGGGTCTGACACAGCCTGTCGGTGAAGCATGTGTGTCCAGAAGTAACGTGATATGTGGTATGAAGTCCGTATTTACAAGGACTGAGCAAAACACCAGACAGTCAGAAGGCAGAGTGATGCTCTCTGTCTAGGGAGAAGAGGGACCTCTTGGAGGCAGTAAGGACCTTCTTCCCCTGTGCAGTATCCTTCCCTCAGAAGGAGGATAGACTCTTCTCATGCTGTGGAGAGTGGGGCCCCTGAAGGGTCAGTTCCAGGAGTTCATACTTTGATGGGGAATGAGGAGCTCTTGAAGATCTTTGACACAGTCAGTGGAGGGCATTTGGTTTTTTGGTACCAGTTATTGAACCAGGGATGCTTAACCGCTGAGCCATATCCTCAGCCTTTTTTTTTTTTTTTTTTTATAATTTAGAGACAGTATCTTGCTAAGTTCCTTTAGGGCCTGGTTAAGTTGCTGAGGCTGGCTTTGAACTTGCAATCCTCCTGAGCTACTGGGATTTGCAAGCCTGTGCCATTGTGCCTGGCCAGAGTAGGGCTTTGTGTTGGAAGCAGGACCTGGTGAGGAGTAGAGAGAAGCCTAGTAGAGAGAACCAAACAAGGATCCTTGCCTGCACAGTCCAGGAGAATAGGGCCCAAGCTCCGGTGGTGGCACTGGGGCCAGGACCATGAGGCAGCCAGGCTGTGGGCTGGGTCTGGCCATGAGCATGGAAGCAGGTGCGATGGAGGATGAAGCACAGGTGGGCTGCATCACTGCTCTGAGAAGAGTTGAGTTTAGTTTTTTCTTGTTATAAGTTTGGTATTGGGTTACAAAGCATTTATGAAGCTAACTCAAACTTTGCTAAGGCTTCTGATTTGTTTGAGAAATTGTGTTTTAATATATTTGTCTAGTTTGGTTTGCTCATTTAAAGACTTCCAGAATGAACTGCGACAGTAGAATCGGGATTGTAAAGTTTCCTGCGTCAGTGGAATCAGGATTTTAAAGTTTCTGAGCCATTGTCATACTTCAGAATCAGTCTCCTAAAGTGTGCCCCTGCTTTTGAATGTCTTTTGCTGGCCTAGTGGGTGACCCACTAGGACCAGCTTTGTCACTGGGCATGAGGCGCTGTGCAGCACTGTGAGAAAGGGCTTGTTCCAGTCTCGACTCTCAGTAGGCCAGCATTTGCAGTGCCATTTTAGAAGAGAAGGTTTCCAGGATGAGAGTGGGGCAGCCCTTCTCTGTTGGGGACTTCATGCCATCAGCCATGGTTAGAGGTTCAAGTGGGCACGTGGACATAATTGCTGGTTTAGTCCTGAAGTGAGTAGGGACTCGTAAGAAATGAGCTGCAAGGACCATGAGGCTCCTTGTTGGCACTGGGGTTGGGGGCCAATGAACATCCCAGCCAGCAAGTGAGGAGGCCAGGCCTGCAGGAAGGATGTTTCTGTTCCAGAAACTGTTTTCCACCACAGCGAGGGGCTGAGATCCTACAGCGTGCCCTTAGCCCCCCAGCCCTGCAAACTTCCCAGGGTGCCCATCGCCTGGGCTGTTGTTATCTGACAGAATGAAAAGAATGAAGGTTTCCTGTGAGAACTGTGAGAACTTTGATTTATTTTAGTTTTGATATTATGTAGTATGTCTAGTGTTTTCAGTAATGTCCTGTGTGAATTTGCTTTTTTTTTTGTTTTTTAGTACCAGAGATTGCACCCAGGGGTGCTTAATCACTGAGCCACATCCCCAGCCCTTTTTTGTATTTTATTTAGAGACAGGGTCTCGCTGAGTTTCTTAGGGCCTCAGTAAGTTGTTGAGAGCTGGCTTTGAACTCAAGATCCTCCTGCCTCAGTCTCCTGAGCTGCTGGGATTACAGGCGGATTATAGGCAAGCACCAGCACGCCTGGCATGAATTTGCTTCTTAGTGAATAGCTTCCTAATGTAGTTCTTATTATATTTTACATTGTCCCCAAATTAAAATTTTGGTTGCTTTTAGCTTTGTTTAGAACTGTAAATGGACTGTCTTCTATGAGCATATTTCTTTGTGTTTCCTTGTAGGCTTTGATGGATTCTAATCTTCCGAGGCTACAATTAGAACTCTATAAGGAAATTAAAAAGGTGAGCCCTTACTTTCCATTCTTGAAAAGATGGTACTATTTCACTGTTTTGAGCAGGATTATGTGAATTTTTATATTTCAGTTAATAAGTAAAATTGTTAGGAGGAAATATTGTTTGGCAAGGTAGATTTTACTGTCCAAATGCTTACTCTTAATTTTTGTTAGATGAGATAGGACTTTAAAATGGCAATTTGGTTTTTGATATTTTTATAATTGAAGCCCACTGGACCTCAGAATCTTAGAAGCAGTTACCAAAAGTTTTACACATCTATCTGGACTTTTCTTTAAACTCGGAAAGTAACAATGAAAGTGTATGCTTTGCCTATATGCAGCCCTCTTGGTGACTAATACATGTGGCTCTTAAATGTAACATGTCCCTCCTTAAACCCATGCAGAATGGTGCCTCTCGAAGCCTGCGTGCTGCCCTGTGGAGATTTGCAGAGCTGGCTCACCTGGTTCGGCCTCAGAAATGCAGGTAAGTTGTACCTCTCTGGGTTATGTTTGTCACTATTTTTGGTGGGTGGCCAGCTTTTGCTGATCTGTTGTCCCAGCTCACGTGTCCCTTCTTCAGAGGTCTCCCTTTCCAGTCTCTCTGAAATGACCCACTTCTGCGCCTCTAAATTGCAGTCAGCAATTGGCCAGCTTGTTCTTGCATGCTATAGTAGTGCACTCTTGGTTTCCTGTCCCATCCTTCCTCAAGAGAGAATTAAGAGGTATGTGGTCTAGGGCAGCATTAGTCTTCCCATCTTGTTCTCTGCTGCATTCCCAAACCAGTGATGGGATCTGCACATAGTAGTTGCTCACCAACCTCATTGTTACCAAGTGTAAGAGTCATAGAAAAGTAGGCTTTGTCTGTTTTGTGGATTCGAAGATGGGCGTTAAACTGTGCGTGACGTCCTGACCAGTGAAACAGTTCTGATAGTTGATTGAGAGAGCACAAGCACCACTTTCGTCATTTCTTTTCCTTAACCCACAAGACCTTCAGATGTCCCGGAGACCCTTGGCTTCACCCTGGGTGACCTATAGAGTGGCCTAAACTCCCACCGTTATTAGGAACAATGATATATTTCATTTAGGTTGAGTTTCAGTAAGAATCTCATGTGGCTGCAGAGGTACAGTCAATAAGGACATTTCTTTTTACAAAACCCTTTTCCTTTTATTGTCCATTTTGTCCAGGGCCTGGGGCCTGCTAAACATGCTGTACCACTGAGCTACTCTCTAAACCCAGCTATCTTTATTTTGAAATTATTTTGTTGTATTTCTGAAGCAATGCATTGCAGTTTCACCACATAGCAACCAAAAGTGATCTTAAAAATACAAAATTGTGCTACCATTCCTTTTGTGAAACTCTTTTACTCATTGCCCAGTGCTGTTCAGATAAAATCCAGAGTCCTCACCCTGGCCTAGACAGTGTGGCCCCCACTGGCCCTGTCATTACAGTGTTGACTCACTGGCCTGGTTTTAGTTCTTCCATCAAGTCAGGTTGTCTGATATATCCCCAGAGTCCCCTGCTGTTTCCATTTAGAAGTCCCTGCCTCAGTGCTCTGGCCCTGCATACTGCCATGCCCCTGCAGGCACCTGGGCATCTTCTACCCCTCATGGCCAAGAATCTGTTCAGTGAAGTTTTCTGGCCTTATCTGTCAGTTCTGTGACTCACTCCTTGTACCTTACATGTTCTGTTTTTCCCTCTAGAGGGCCAGACCATATCTTGAAGCCCTCATTTGGTTTGAATATTTTTTTCAAGTTTGTCATGCTCCTATTTTAAGAAAGCTTTATTCAGCAGGGCAAGTTGATGCCCATCTTTAACTTGGGGGGCCAAGGCAGGAGGATTATAAGTTTGAGACCAGCCTGAGAACTTACCAAGACACTGTCTCAAAATATAAAATGGAAATGGCTGAGGTGTAGTTCCGTGGTTGAGCAGCCCACAGTTCAGTCCCCAATATTGCAAGAAAAAAAAAAGAAAAACTTTATTTACTTCTAAAAATTTTTGTTTTCAGTGTTTGTTTATACTATTGATTGTTTTCCAGTTGAAACTCATGGTATTTTAACAACTATTGTAATCTATTGCAAATGATTTTTAAACCCAGCTTCTTATAGTCCTTTGTGACCATGGGAAAGATGGAGGACAGTTGAACCTCATCTGTGGTTAGACTTCCTGTTCCTTTAGCTGAACCTTGTATAATCTCCATTAAGGACCATTTTGCTGGTAAAACTGGGTTTTTGCTAACAGGGAACTGATTGCTTCTATTTCTTGTTAGAGAACACCTGAATAGTGACATATTATTTTGTGTACACAGGCCTTACCTGGTGAACCTCCTGCCATGCCTGACTCGAACAAGCAAGAGACCTGAGGAATCAGTACAGGAGACCTTGGCTGCAGCTGTTCCCAAAATCATGGCTTCTTTTGGCAACTTTGCAAATGACAATGAAATCAAGGTCTGATTGCACCTCTAGGCACACATGTGCTAATGACACAGGGAAGGAGTCTTTCAGGGCTCAGGATTTTTGGACAGGCTGTCACTTGAGAGGATTTCTTAGTTGTATTATGCTTCCTAATTCAGCTAACACCATTTGTGTCATTTTGAGGCACCCCAAAAGTTTTTTTCACTTTTACTTTCCTATCACGGGGTGAAAAGTTGAATAGGGAGATGGCCTATAGATATAAATTCCAAAGGTATTTTTCTAGAGCAGATTGTTTTTTGGCATACTGAATTGGCTCCTTAACCTAGCTGAGGAAAGAAACGGATGATACCAGGTCTGCAGGTAGGAGAGCTTGCTGTGTGCCCTGTGAGTGTATGAGTGCCCAGCAGCTGCCAGGGCCTCCTAGGCTTCCTGTTTATGCTTTATCCTAACAAGCAACCTAAGTCCTGCTTTAGTATTTCCTTCATTACATCCGGAGGTTGTGATTGTGTCACACGTTTTGCAGATTGCAGGATTTTAGGCCTTCTCCATTTTTGTGGTCAAGTCCTGGGATTGAGTTGTCTTCCAGGGAGGTCATGGAATGCAGAGGTGAGAGCAGTGCTCTGGGGATTAGACTGGAACTAGAATTCTGCCCTGTTGACCATCTCTTTCCCTTTACACAAATTACCCAATAGCTCTTCACTTGTCCCTGTCCTCTTCTGAAAAGCAGGGCATGAAGGCCATTCTGGGAGTGCAGGAACTGTGTGCATGTGGAATGTAGTATAGGACCTGGCCTCTAGGAAGTGCTCAGGTGTTAGCTGAGACTGCTGTCATTAGCTGTGTGACCTTGCGTAAATTATTCAACTTCTCGTGGTTTTTCTCTGAGCTTTTTTTTTTTTAAAGAGAGAGAGAGAAAATTTTTTGATATTTATTTTTTAGTTTTTGGCAGACACAACATCTTTGTTTGTATGTGGTGCTGAGGATCGAACCCGGGCCGCACGCATGCCAGGCGAGCGCGATACCACTTGAGCCATATCCCCAGCCCCTTCTCTGAGCTTTTGAAGTTTTCTTTTTTAAAATTTTTAAAATTGATTCATTATAGCTATACATAATAGTGGGATTTGTTGTTACATATTCATACATGCAACAACATATTTGTTAAAGTTTCATTTCCAGTACCCCCTTTTGAAGTTAATACTAAGGTAATATTAAAAACCAGTTTCATAGGCTTTTGAAATAATGAAGGGAGATTATGAATATAAAGAATTTAGTAATTGAATTATGTTCAATGGTAGCTACCACTGCTGTTATTTTATTCTCCCTCTTTGGGTTGGGGGCAGATGCTCCTGGGAAGTCTCAGGACTTGAGAACTGCACATCCCCAGTGTGCCCACCAGTCATGGGGGTCCTCTTGTGGACAATCACCTTTTGGATAACTCTGACAGGGCAGAGACCAGGCAGATGGTGGATATTTTGGTAGTTCTTCTAATCCTGTAACTTAGTTTACCATTTAAGTAAGATGATGCTAACCTTTTTGTTGTTGTTGTTTGTTTTTATATAGAGTTGCTACTGACTTAACTTCTTCCTATTTATTCCCCTGTCCCTTTACCCATTTATGTTTGTTCAAAAAACATAATCCAGGATTATTAAAAGGATTATAAATAAATAAAGACACTAGTCCCTCTACTTCTCCTAATCCTGTGTCTCAGAGGCAGCCACATCTCTTTGTTTCTTCTGGTGTTTACCTCCACATTTCTAAACAACATGCTTAGACTGTTATTTTTGGATTTTAAAATTTTAGACACTTTTTACTTTAGAAGAGATGAATTTAGTCCTAATCCTTCTCCTCTCTTTTCACTAACATTATATCAGTATTCAGTGTATACATTATTATGTCGAAGTAAATAGTCACAGCTGGTTAGGTATGATTATATTTCTTCATACAGCCTTTTGTTTTTCTAGAGTTAGTAGTTGCTTTTTTTTTTAATATTTATTTTTTTAGTTGTAGTTGGACACAGTACCTTTATTCCATTCAGTTATTATTTTTTTGTGGTGCTAAGGATCGGACCCAGGGCCCTGCGCATGCTAGGCGAGCACTCTACCGCTGAGCCACAATCCCAGCCCCAGTAGTTGCTTCTTTTTCACTTATATTCACTGGCCATTTACATCATTTTACACCTTCTGATGGCTTTGTAAGATGCATCTCAGTACAGCTTTCTACATGATAGGTAGTTTATTGGATCCTTTTACCTCAGTACACTTGTCTTAGAATTCTCAGCTTTCCTTAGTCTGGACAGTTGCTCATTAAGTCTGTTGCCAGATCAGTTCCTGGGCCTGTCTTTGCCCTGGAAATTGCCTTACTGCTCTCTTATTGATGCCTGATACGTGGATGGCATATCTTTTTTTGTGTGTGAGTGTGTGTGGCACTTGTGATTGAGCCGTGGATGCCTTTATTTTTCTAGGTCTGCTCCCCTATTTTGGTAGAGCACATCCTCTAGTAGCTTCCTTAGAGGGATGAATGGGAGGAATATTTTGCATTCCTATAAATGCCTTTATTTCTCTTGGTTGGGTATAGCATTTTGGAATGGAAATCATTTTTCCTCAGGAATGTGAAGTCTTTGTCCTATCATCTTGCAGTCCACAGCATGGTTATGGGAAGTTCCCTGACCTGATGCCTTAATCTTTGAAAGCTTTTCATTTTGGGGAGGTGGGTTGCTGGGTACTTGGTAGGCCTTTAATTTGGAAATATGCCTTTAAATTCTGGGAGATTCCTTTACTTTTGCTGGGTGGGTGCACCAGGAGCACTTAACCACTGAGCCACATCCTCAGCCCTTTTCATATTTCATTTAGAGTCAGGGTCTTGCTGAATTGCTGGGGCTGTCTTTGAACTTGTGATCCTCCTGCTTCAGCCTCTTGAGTCACTGGGATCACAGTATGCCATTGCTTCTGGCTTCTCTTGGAGTTCTGTTTCTTGGATGTATAAGGAAAGAACTGAATGAAGGAAATAGAGAGGAGGCGGATCAATAGCAACACAGGTTTATTTGGGATAGACCAGCAGAGGAGGGCCCAGTGGAGACTGAGACCCATCTGGAGTAGTTATAGGGGCCTGAGGGAGGGGGTAACTTTTGCAGTTAAGCCATTGCTAGGGAAGAGTCCTTTTAATCATTACCTCTATTCTTCGAGGTGGTCACTATTCCATGTTGAACCAGGTATTTTCATGATTCCAGCCCCAGATAGCAATTTCCTTTCTTTGCATGATGATGGAGTATTATTTAGGTCAGGCTGAGTCAGAGTGACTGTGAGGTGACTCTTGTTCTAGGATGGAGGATATGTTTCAAAATGCCTGTATCAAATTCTTCCTGACAGTGTGCACTTGCTTTTTTGGGGAGCCTTCATAACTTTCCACTCATCCTCCAGAAAAGCTTGTGTCTGACCTTCTTCCTATGTTCTGGGTCAGCCAGTTACCACTTGTTACTTTCTACCTTCCAAAGATTGTTGGCACCTGTGCTCTTCTTTCTGCCCTTATAAATGTATTCTTTAAAAAACTTCTTTACTTGATTCTTGTGGGGTTTCTGGGTAGTGGAGGTTCATGTTAGATCAGAAGTCTCCTAGGCTGTGGTGGGTGCATTTTTACTCTCAGGATTACCAAATATTCAGAGTTCTTGACTTTGGATTTTTCACCCCTGGATATACAAAGTAAAAGTAGAACAGTGTGCAAATCAATAAGTGTAGCCCTTGATGAATAATTACAAAATGAACTTACATAGTAGCCAGCACCCAGGTCAGAAAACAGAATCTTATATGCACACTGGAAACCCCCTGTGCTTTCTCCCTGTTACCACTCTTTCCCTTTTCCTCAGAGATAGTCACTGTCCTGGCTTCTAATGCCAGAGTGAGTCTGTTTTTAAATTCTATATATGCAGAATTTATATATTTATATATAAATTTTATATAGCATGTGTTCTTTTTGTCCATCTCCTCTGTGCACATTCAGCTTGAGAGTCTGCTGTGTTGTCCTGTGTGTTAGCAGTTCGAGTGGTTTCCCAGCTGTGGGCATTCTGTTGTGTGCATGAGCCTCAGCTTGTCCATTTTGTTGTAACTGGACGTTTGCGTTATTTCTCACATCCGCCTACACTGCTGTTAGCATTCTTACATGTTTTTGGAGCACATGTGTCATTTTCTGTTGGGGCTCCCTGGAGGTGGAGTTGCTAGGGTTGCAGGGCACATTTAGCTGCAGTGGATACCACTGAGCTGCCCTACTCAGTGGTCACAGTTGACTCCAGGTGCTCTGTACGGCAGTTGTCAGTAGTTTAGTTCATTTTGGGGGGGGCGGGTACCGGGGATTGTATTCAGGGGCACTCAACCACTGAGCCCCATCCCCAGCCCTGTTTATATTTTATTTAGAGGCAGGGTCTCATGATTGCTTAGCGCCTCAGTTTTGCTGAGGCTGGCTTTGAACTCAAATCCTCCTCCTGGATCCTTCTGTCTTAGTCTCCCGGGCCGCTAGGATTATAGGCATGCACCACTGTGCCTAGCATTCAGTTAGTTCTTTTTCTTTCTTTCTTTTTTTTAAAAGCATTTCTTTTTTTTTTGTAGTTGTAGATGGACAGAATTTATTCATTTTATTTGTTTATTTTTAATGTGGTGCTAAGGATTGAACCCAGTGCCTCACACATGCAAGGCAAGCGCTCTCTGGCAGTCATTTAGTTCTGAACACTGATTATTCTGATATCACATTGTGGTTGTAATTGCCATTTCCAGTCCCTAAGTACTCTTTTTTTTTTTTTTAAGATGGACCCACTATCTTTATTTATTTTATTTATTTTTATGTGGTGCTGAGGATCCTAAATACTCTTGACTCTAAAGTTTAATGATTTATGCATCTTTTCCCTTTTGAAGTACTCTAGGAAATATGTCATGGATGCGTTTTGAAAAGTGGAGCCCTCCATGTAGCACATACCCTTCCACTATTCTGAGAAGTACTTAAGCCTAGTTTAACACCTCCTTTCAGCTAGAATGTTCTTGGGATTGTAGAGGTTTAGTTTTTAGAAGTCCCCTTGGAGCTCTCAGGTCAGATTTTATTTATTTATTTATTTTAGATTTTATTATGTCTTATCCAAAACTGTTTAGTTTCACAGTGGACTGGCTATTCATAATAGTGCTTAGTGTTCCTTGTGCTTAGAAATTTGGATTAATGTAGAATGATTGTTAATTTACTTTTTCAATAGTGTGCATGTGCACGTTTCAAAGGAGTTCTTTTTTTTTTTTTTAAAGAGAGAGAGAGAGAGAATTTTAATATTTATTTTTTAGTTTTTGGCGGACACAACATCTTTGTATGTGGTGCTGAGGATCGAACCCGGGCCGCACGCACGCCAGGCGAGCGCGCTACCGCTTGAGCCACATCCCCAGCCCAAAGGAATTCTTTTAAGATGTCAATATCTTGTCTTGCAGCTAAAAAAGTTTGTCAGAGTTGATGGATTCTCTACATGATGTCCAGGGGGAAATGGCAGGCTACATACTATTAGGGGTTTCCATGGTAGGAGACTAGTCCTTTGCTTCTCAAGTCCTAGAGTCTAATCCAGAAGTCACTGAAGCTTGATAAGCCTCTGAGAACCAGTTTATGCAACCTCACTTTTGAGGAGACCCTTATAATCCACTGCTAGTAGATGCATCTATGCTGTTTGCCTGGGTATTGCCCTGATGAATCCCTGCTCAGGATCAGTTGGACTCCATGCAGACCCAGTGCTGAGCTGTCATTCCTGAGAGCAAAATGAGTTTTGTTGTTGTTGTTGTTTTTGGTGGTGCTGGGAATGGAACCCAGGGCTTCATACATGCTAGGCTCTTCCATTGTGTCACACCTAGCTCTGGGAATGGATATTCTTTTTTTTATAATCTTCATTTTATATATTTATTTTTATGTGGTGCTGAGGATCGAACCCAGTGCCTCACACATGCTAGGTGAGTGCTCTACCACTGAGTTGCAACCCCAGCCTATGTGAATGAATATTCTTAAGTAACTTGGTCCCCACATGAATGCAGCTCTAGGTGGTCATTTTTTTTTTAATAGTTGTAGATGGACAGAATGTCTTTATTTTATTTGTTTATTTTTATGTGGTGCTGAGGATTGAACCCAATGCCTCACACATGCTAGGCAAGCGCTCTGCTGCTGAACTACAGCCCCAGCTCCTCTTTGTCATTCTTTGGAGAGTTTTTGTCAAGACTTAATTGGTTGAACTTATTGCCCTTCTCCTTAGTCTTATCCTGGACGTCCAGTGAGAACGCCTTGGTTCTTGATTTCTTGGGACAACTGTGGGTACTATGCTATTGCAGCCAGTCAGGTCACAAATGTTTCCCCTTTGCAGACACACCAACCTGAGAACACCTTCTAGCACTTTTCCAGGTGTCTCTTAGTCCAGGACATTGTTATAGTGTCTAGTTGTCTTTTTTTCCTTTATTTCAAAGTTGTTGATTTTTTTAACTCTTTTTTATATAGTGTCATTACTCACCCTGTGCCCAAATAATGTGAATACATATTTTCTGGAATCCGAGGCCTCTGCCGTCAGAGAGAGAATATAGATGCTGAGTCAAGTCACTAGTATAGTTTATGTTTGTAAATTGCTCTTAACTCTCTCAAGCTTGGAGTTCTTCCATTCAGCTATTGGGAACATTTTAATTATTTATTATTTATACTCTGCAAGAATTTGAAGCTCCTAGTTCTTTTTATTTTTGTTTTTTTGCAGTTCTGGAGATCAAACCCAGGGCCTTGCACAAGCAAGGCAAGCACTCTACCACCAAGCTATTCCTCTAGCCCCAAGCTCCTAAGTCAAGTCTAGTTTTATGAAATATGTGGTAAGCTTCATAGGGAACTCTTCTTTCATCAGATTGGATTTTCACTTTCATAGGTTCTGTTAAAGGCTTTTATAGCAAATCTGAAGTCAAGTTCACCCACTGTTCGGCGGACAGCAGCTGGCTCAGCAGTGAGCATCTGTCAGCACTCTCGGAGGACACAGTACTTTTACAGCTGGCTCCTAAATGTGCTCCTAGGTAAGATGCGGGCAAGTGAGCGGACCCATCACCATTGCTTACACAAGATAGACCTTTGAAAATCTTTAACACCATATGATCCCTTTGCTTCTAGGCTGGACCGCTGGCTAATGGGTTGATATGAGCTGCATTGGGGCTGCTCTGAGTTCCCATGGGGTCTTTGAACTCATGCAGAATGCGTGCCCAAGGACACCAGGCAGTGGGTATAGGCCAGTGTTAGCCCCACCTTCCTTCCCAGCCTGGCTCTCCATTCATGGGACCTGAGGCTGTGCTTCAGCTCCCTGTAACGTTTGTGCCCTTTTAGCCTTTGCTACCAGCCTTGGGGTTAGGCTCTCCTGTGGTCTCTTCTTTACAAAAAATTATACCATGCGTCTCCAAGCAGCAGATCAGCTGTTAAAAACAAGAATGTGGCTGCCTTTGTAGGTCTGCTGGTTCCTGTGGAGGAAGAACACCCCACGCTCCTGATCCTTGGTGTGCTGCTCACATTGAGGTATCTGGTGCCCTTGTTGCAGCAGCAGGTCAAGGACACAAGCCTGAAAGGCAGCTTTGGGGTGACGCGGAAAGAGATGGAAGTTTCTCCCTCTGCAGAGCAGCTTGTCCAGGTGGGAGCCATGGAGGTGATTCTAGTCTCTACACTTAAAAATGGCACACACTTCAAGACCCAGTTAATTTGGATGAAAAGAGGCAGAGCCACAGGCCAGCATTGTGGGCTCTGGAACATGACTGTTGGGTTCCATCCCAAGAGGCCACCTCTAGCCTGTGACGTCTATGTGTCATTGTCATTTCACGTAAAGGTGCAATGTATCACATTAAGCCCTTTAGAGTCCCCCCCACCTGGCATAGGGACTGCTCTTAGCCTGTTTTAAAACCAGGGGTTATGAAATGTGCTATTCCATTCAGTGAATACTGCTTTAGTGCCCACTGTGTGCAAGGCATTGGGGTGGGGCAGCTACTGGGAATGCAGGGAGCATTTCTGCTGCAGCGTCTCCCCACGGTCTAGTGCACTTATCTGGGCAGGGTCGTACACTAAGCATGTTAGGGCAGAATGTAGACTTTGGTAGACTGGCAGGAGCTCAGTGGGCTTTTTGAAAAAAATTAAAGGTGTATTCCACAAAAAGGAGAAACACATTTAACAAATTCAAGAGAGCAAATCTTTAACCCGGGAGTGTATTCAAAACAATCCTGTGATGACTGTTGTGTAGCATGTAGTAGGAACTCAAGAAGCATGCCTTGTGACAAATAATATGACCAAGAAGCTGGGAAAGGGAAGCATATCCCCGTGTTGTTCACAAGGAGAGGGGAAGAGGCAGTGAGTGATTCCATGAAAACCAGCAAGATTTATAGAGGAAACTTGATGGTCCAACTGTGAAGCAGGGCCTCATGCATGCTAGGCAGGTGCTCTCCCACTGAGCCACATTCCCAGCCCCTAAAATGTAGAATAATTTTAAGTATGTAATGAAATGAAAGAGAATCTATTTGACCATTACTCTTGGAAGATTTTAAGTGACACAGTAATAATAACATACTTCTTTTTGAATTATTACTTTAATAGGCTTTGGAGTAAATACTGGTATGTGCACGTGATAAAGCTGAGTTTTAGACTTCCAGGTGGAGTTTATTCATGTAGTCTTAAATAGCAGCATGTGCATGTGGTCAGTCTGGGCAGTATGAAGTAGCACTGTTGCTGACCTTTCTAGAGCAGTAAAGGAGGTGAAGGAACATGGGCAGTGGTCTCCTATTCAGATTGGCAGCTTCACATCACAGGTCTAAGTTGACTACCTCAACAGGGTCTGTAAGCATTTTCTTTTTTTTTTTAAATTTTTATTTTTAAAGCATTCTTTAAAAAAAAAAACAAACACTTTATTTTATTTATTTAGTTTTATGTGATGCTGAGGATTAAACCCAGTGCCTCACACATGCAAGGCAAGTGCTTTCCCACTGAGCCCCAGCCCCAGCACCTCCACAAGCATTTTCTATCAGGGGCCAGAGAGTAAATATTCTAAGTTCTGCAGGCCTTACCATGCCCATTGCAGCTACTCGGCTGTACTATTGTAACATGACAGTGGCCATACACAGCCATAGGTATGATGAGTTCCAGTGAAACAGGAAAAGCAGGCCTGAGCCAGATGTGGCCTGTGGACTTCAACTCACCAACCCCATGATTTAGGGTTGTGGAGGTTTCCATCAGAATGGAAATCAAGGATTAAAGGTAGCTCCCTGGGGGACTTTGCCTTTTTATTTTGTACTTTACTGATTTTTTAAAATGTATTTTATGATAGTAAAGGCAGGGTTGGCCAGTTTAGCAAATAAAATTACAAAATGCCAGTGAAATTTGAATTTCAGATAAATAGTAATTTTGTAATATAAGTATTTTCCAAATCAGTGGGACATACTTACACTACAAAATTATTGTTTTCTGAAATTCAAATTTAACTGGGCTGCTTGTGTTTCATTTGGTAACTCTGAAGTGAAAAAGTAATTCATTTTGTTCATATGAATTGTGATTGAGTATTAAAATCACTAATGAGGTTTGACATATGCCTTTAAAATTTCGGGTGACTCTGTTGGCCTCTGTCATGTTTCTGATTGTTGAATGTGTTCACCTGACTCCACCTCAGTGTCTCTTGGGGTTGCCCCTCTTTCCAGTTTCAGAAAATGGAGATGTGAATTGACTTGCTGCTGTTTACTTTAAAGAATATGCAGTGGGGGGCTGGGGCGCGGCTCAGTGCCAGAGGGCTTGCCTAGCACCTCTGAGGCACTGGGTTCAATCCTTAGCACTGCATAACAAGTAAACTAAAGGTATTCTGGCCATCTATAATTATTAAAAACAATAACAACAGTGTGCTGCTGGGCACGCCTGTAATCCCAGCAATCTCAGCAGCTCAGGAGGCTGAGGCAGGAGTATTCCAAGTTCAAAGCCAGCCTCAGCAAAAGTGAGGCACTAAGCAACTCACAATACAAAAAAGGGCTACGGATGTGGCTTACTGGTCAAGGGCCCCCTGAGTTCAGTCCCTGGTATTCCTCCCACTCCTAAAACAAAAACAACAAAAATGAGCCAATGAAAAATCATAGGAATTTAGGAAGCAACCTGGAAACTAATGCCCACAGTGATAGAGGTGATAAAGAAGAGACTGGAAGTAAAAATTCTAGGCTCAACCTTTGCCTGCAAAGGCCTGTTGAAAGACAAAGTGAAAGCTGGGACTGATATCTGCCTCCGTTTCTAGGTTTATGAACTGACTTTGCATCACACGCAGCACCAAGACCACAACGTGGTGACAGGGGCGCTGGAGCTCTTGCAGCAGCTCTTCCGCACACCCCCTCCAGAGCTGCTGCAAGCACTGACCACGCCAGGGGGCCTTGGGCAGCTTGCTGCGGCTCAGGAGGATGCCCAGGGTCGAAGCCGCAGCAGGAGCATTGTGGAACTTCTAGGTGTGTTCTCAGGTTCTCAGTGAGTTCTGCCATAGCTAATTGTGTGGTATGCTTGTGACCTTCTGTTGCATTGTGGATCCGCACCCAGTTCTTTGCGTAGACTTGCAGTGTAGGCTTTACCAACAGAAGACCTAAAGTTTAGAAAGAGAGGTGAAGAATGAGACCAAACATTTAAAATCTGGCCTCCTGGCTCTGCTTCTGATTTGGCTACCCCTCCCTTGGATTTTTAGGTGTCATTAAATGAAAACATTAGGGAATATATTCCTAGGACCTTGTGCTAATTTGCCCAAGATGGTATCTTCAAGTCTGCATGACAGTTGTATAGTTCCTTGTGCCCTGTGTTTTCTGACTTTAGAAAATCCCTATGATTTTGAGCCCTTCCACAAGGCACCTCCCCAGCCCAGTCTGCTCTTTTTGAGAGAGTTGGACCCTGATTCCCTGAGGGGCTGAATTCTAGAGCAGGGAGCTTGGTGAGCCCTTACTCACCTGAGGTGGCCCTGGGAGCTGGGCTAGCTGGGAAACCCTGCATCTCAGCCTGCAAAAGTGAGCCTGGGGTACAGCAGACCTTTGGGGGGATGCTTCTGACCCCGGGCCTCTCCTAGGCTGCTGCAGTGTGTGAGCACACCTAACAAGGTCTTTATTTGCTGCATGGACACACTTAGACACTTGGAATTTAGACATCTGATTGCTGCTTTGTAAACGTACATGTTTGCCCTGAGCAGAAAACTTTAATAGGCTCTCTCTGCTGTCCTTTGCATTGAAGGACTCTTTTCTCTATGTAATACATGCCTCAGAGCTAATTGGTGGAAATACTCATCCCTAATGATTTTTCCAATGAAAATTTATGCTTAATTATTAGTTGGGCAAAAAATCTGAGATCTCTAAATAGTTTTGATTTGACTTCTAAAATGCAACTTAATTTAACTCTTGACATTTTAATCATACTTTTAGAACTATATTTGAATGTAAATGTAACTTTTATACTAAAATTAAAGTGTGGAACTTTGGTATTTTAGCACTTCCTATGGAAATATGCTCATATTTTCCCTTGTTTTAAAGTTGAATAAATTTTTTGATGTTTTTAAAATTTCTTCTAGATTTTAGCAGCTTATTACCTTTCTTTCATCTGTTACTTTCTATGATTTGCAGCTGGAGGGAGTTCTTCATGCAGCCCTATCCTTTCAAGAAAACAAAAAGGTAATGATTTCAGAAATCTAAACTTTGTGTTGAACCTCACTGCTTTTCCTCTGTCTCCATGACATATCTGGTCCTATCTTCACTAGTAGAGTGGTTGTGTGGGCAGATGTTGCTAGAATCTGGGAACTAGGTCTGAGGCTATGTAGGGTGGCTTTTTAAAATTGCTTCTCTATCAGAATTGTTTTGTCATCAATTTCTTTCTTTTTCTTGGTTATGATATTTTATTGTTTTCAGCATTAAGTTTTTAATGCCTTAGGTCAGAGATCAATAAACTTTTTCTATAAAGGGATAAACAATAAATATTTTTGCCTTATGAGCCAGGGGGTCTCTTTTGCAAGTGTTCAACTTTCCTGTGGCAGGAAAGCAATTACAGATGATATATAAGCAATTGGACATGTCTGTGATCCAGCAAAACTTTACACATGCAGGCTAGGCAGCTCCTACTTCTAGAGAATGTGTTGTATTTTATAAAGGCAACTTACCCTCCTAATAAATTTGCTTAGTATTAGGAATGTTATTAGATAGTATCTTTTGTAGTTAATTAATTTAGGCCCAGTTGTCATTTGTTAGCCATATTTTAATTTTGTACATATCAAAATGTTCTGCTATAACTAATTCATATTTATTTATTTATTTATTTTTTGAGAGAGAGAGAGAGAGAGAGAGAATTTTAATATTTATTTTTTAGTTTTCGGCGGACACAACATCTTTGTTTGTATGTGGTGTTGAGGATCGAACCCGGGCCGCACGCATGCCAGGCAAGCGTGCTACCGCTTGAGCTATATCCCCAGCCCTCATTTTTATTGTTAGTGTGTTTCTGATATAATCTGATAGTTTTCATTCACAGTTTTTTTTTTTTTTTAGTTTTATTCTTTTAAATACACGACAGCGGAATGCATTACAATTCTTATTACACATACAAAGTACAGTTTTTCTTATCTTTGTATATAAAGTATGTTCATGCTAATTCATGCCTTTATAAATGTACTTTTTTGCATTACAATTCTTATCACACATGTATACCACAATTTTTCATATCTGTTCGTATATAAAGTATGTTGACACCCAAGTGTCAAGTCTTCATACATGTACTTTGGATAATGATGTCCATCACATTCCATCGACTTTGCTAATCCCCTGCCCCCTTCCTTTCCCTCCCACCCCTCTTCCCTATCTAGAATTCATCTAATCCTCCCATGCTCCCCCTCCCTAGCAGCACCAATTATTTTCTTTTCCATTGTGGATTTCTATAGGAAATCATTTCTTTCATTCTGTTTTGAAATCTGATCAGACTAATCCTTTTTCTGTGTGTGGTGCTTTGTGTTTGAGAGCCTAATACTACTTGCAATATTGAATGGGATCTTAATAAAAATAATATTCTTGCTGTCTCTGAATTACATAGGCCTTTCCTCAAAGATCTTGGAATCAGTACTTAGGAATCAAGCTGGGTGAGGTGGCTGGTACCTGTAATCCCAGCTGTTTGGGAGGCTGACGCAGGTGGATGACTTGAATCCAGGAATTTGGGATAAGACTGGGCCACGTAGCGAGGCCCCATCTCAAAAGAAACCAAAACATTTGGAAACCATCATAGTGTGGAATCCTTAGTCTGTGATTTTAGAGAAACATAGAAATTGTTTAAAGACCAGTGGGATTCTGGGAAAAGTCAGTCTCTGTGTTCTTGCGATAGGAGGGATTTTTGGACACATAACAAAATTTCTGAAAAATTATTTATTAGTAATTTTTCCAGAGACACTGAATTAGATGACTGACATCACTAAGATGAATTGTTCTCCCCTCTTGTAAGTGCTTAGGACATGGATATTTCTTCAGTCTTTACATATATTTTTCTGTTTTTTTTTTTTTTTTGTTGTTGTTGTTGTTGTTCCCCTTCCTATTTTAAGAAATTTTTGTGGCAGTCACAAATTTTTTTTTTTTTTAAGTGAAATTGAAATGTGCCAGTGTGGCACATTTTTCCTGAAGATGAAAAGCATTGTTGTGTTGGATGTGGGCTAAGGGTAAGGATCAGAGGTGGCCTGGAATCTCTTCTCTGGTTGCAGCCTGCCCTGGTTCCTTCTAAGAGGCTGCCCTGGGGAGGCTTCCACAGCACATATTTGTACACCCTTAAATTCGAGGATGAAGACTGTATTAAGGTCCACGTTCACTATTCTGTGATAAAAGACCCCATTGTTTAGTTTTATGCCACGTTGCTGTATTCATTTTACCTAGATTTTGGGTTTCCTTTGCTGATTTTATTTTGTGCTTCTAATGTCAGGTCATGTAAGTTTATGGAAGTTTAGCACAACTCTGACTTATGTTAGAAATTAGAAATTGCCAGTAACTATTTAGATAGTGTCATTTAGTGACATTCATATGTAGTGTAGCCATAATGGTTGTGTCCAGTTAAATCATATTTCAACTTTTGGTTTCTTTTTTCCTTATGAATGTAATTTTGAATATGAACTATAAAGTATATTTTTAGAACTTTCTTAAATATTCATTCTCTCAACATCATATAGTACTTGAGTTCTGGTAATTAATCATAGTCTAGAAAATTAGAAGATAATAAAATGAGAGTCATTTTATTTATATATAAAATTTTTTTGTATAAATTCTGATGTGCTATTGGATATAGGAGATGGACATTTCACTGCTAATAGAATTGGATCTTTTCAGTTATAACTTGCCATTTTACGTTAAATAGTCATATAAATTTATTTGCAATACTAGTAAATATTAAGATATTAATTATTAATAATTAAAATATTTTGTGGTACAGTTGACAATCATCGCTGTTAACGTTTTTCCATATAGGTTTGAATTTAATAGTATTCTAAACATAATATGTTTGCATTGTTTCTATTTAAAATTTTTTTAGAGGAATAAACATGTATGATCATAAACTATGAGGATAAATTAAGTATGATTTTCAGTTTAGGATGTATATTTATTTGATTTTTCAAGTCCTTACTCCCAGCAAACTTACAGGGACTGTGATTGCATTATTTATCAGGCAGAGTGCTCATGGGAGAAGAAGAAGCCTTGGAGGATGACTCGGAATCCAGGTCTGATGTCAGCAGCTCTGCTTTTGCAGGTAGTTTTTGTCGGGAAGTAGCTGGTGTTGACTTTTATCTGCTGTCCCCACCTTGGCCCGCCCCCACCCCTCAGCCAGCAAAGAGCACTGGTCAGGCCTGGCACAGTAGGGTCAAGACTGCTCAAATAGTGGGAAGCTCTCCCAGGTTCTCTTTTTATGTTCACTTTGAAATGTGCAGGACTGTGTGTGCTGTGATGGGGGCTGTTGTGAAGTTAGGCTCATCCTCCCTGAGCATGACTGTCTCCTGGTAGGGCTGGTGGGTGGAGGATGGGTCCTGCTGAGGAGGAGGAGATAAGGAATCGTCTGTTGGTGATTTAACTTGGAAGAATCTACTACCTCTGTTTACACTTAGTTATCTAATTAAATTCTTTTTATGCTTTTCTATAAAAGATGAATTTTTAACTTAAGACATTAATAACTCGATTAAATGAGGTGGTTTGCGATGTGTAATTCTATCCAAAATAATATTTTTAGATAGATAAAAATAGGTCCAAGGTATTTGGGAAGGGAAATCCAGATAAAGCCAGTCATAAGTTCTTTCATTTATATTCCAAAATAAAGATAGATCTTATTTCTGATAATAAAACTAAAAAAGATAAAAACAAAAAATTATCCCTGTATTAAACAGTATAAACCTCAAGTGCTCCTGACCTAGTTGCCCCCTGGAATGACCACTGCCCACAGTGGATCCATCATTTTGAAGTAGTTTGTTTTTCTTCCTTTTTTTTTTTTTTTTTTTAATATTTTTCTAGTTGTCAATGGACCTTTATTTATTTATTTATATGTGGTGCTAAGAATCGAACCCAGTGCCTCACACATGCTAGGCAAGCGCTCTACCACTGAGGCACGGCCCCAGCCCCTGAAGTCGTTTTTATGTCGTGTTTTGTTTTGTTTTGTTTCTGAATGGAAATTTAAAAGTGAATCTAGGAAAATGTGGTATATATTTATCCTGCAGGAGACTGGGACTGGATTAGGGATAATAAGTAGGGCTTGGAAGAAAGCACATGTCCCAGATCAACTAAGAATCTGGCATTGTTCCTGACCACTGCTAGCTTAGAGCCCCAGGTGTTTGTGCCCTACAAGGGCTGGAGAAGTTGCTCAAGAACTTAAACATTTGCTTTTTTCATGTGTGTGGTATTAGGGATTGAACCCAGGGTACTTTACCATTAAGCCATACCCCTAAGCCCTTTTTCTTTTTTCTCTTGGAACATTTGTTATTGGTGCATTATTGTTGTACATATGATGGGATTTGTTGTTACATATTTGTACATGCACACAATAATAACAATATAATTTGGCCAGTATGACTCACCAGCACCTCCACCCTGCTTTCCCATTTTCTACCCGCCCCCACCCATTTTCCCTTTTTCTGCTGATTTCACTTTGATTTTCATGAGCTCCCCACGCCGCCACCTTTCTTTGCCTTTTTCCTCTCTAGGTTCCACATAAAAGAGAAAACATGTGACCCTTGACCACATGAATTTGGCTTATTTTGATTAACATAATGGTCTCAGGTTCTATCCATTTTTTTGCAATTGACATAATTTCATTTTTTTTTTATTACTAAATAAAACTCTTTTGTGTGTACATACCCTCTTTTCTTTATCCATTCATCTGCTGATGAACAAACACCTAGGCTAGTTCCGTAGTTTGGCTACTGTGAATTGTGCTACTGTAAACATGGGTATGCATGTGTCACTGCAGTAAGATGACTGTAGTTCTTCAGGGTAAATACCGAGGAGTGGTACAGCTGGGTCATAGGGTGTTTCCATGCCTACTATTTTGAGGAGCCTGCATTTCCAAAGTGGTTGTACTAATTTACACTTTCACCAGTAGTGCAAAAGTGTTCCTTTTTCTCTCCAGCATTTATTATTGTTTGTATTCTTTTTTTTTAAATTGTTTTTTAGTTTTAGGTTGACACAATATCTTTATTTTTATGTGGTGCTGAGGATTGAACTCAGTGCCTCACGCATGCTAGGCGAACACTCTGCCACTGAGCCACAACCCCAGTCCTATTGTTTGTATTCTTGATGACCACCATTTTGCTTGGTGTTGAGCATTGTTTTTTATAGTGAAATGCCACTTGAAAATATTCATAGCATTTAAAAAACATCTGCGGGGCTCGGGATATGGCTCAAGTGGTAGCGCTCTTGCCTGGCAAGCGTGAAGCTCTGGTTTGATCCTCAGCACCACATAAAAATAAAATAAAGATATTGTGTCCATCTAAAAAACTAAAAAATAAATTTTTTAAAAAATCTGCTATTGAAGGTTTTCTTACTTTTATGATTACAGTAGTCAGGTTTGAAGATAGCCCTGTGTGCTACTACTTCATGTTTCTACTGTATTTCAGGATGCTTTGCAGTTAGAATATATGATGGCAGTGAACTTTTTGTTATTTGGACACCTCTCATGCCCTGGTGGAAGTTTTCTCTGGCCACCTGACCAGTGAGCATTTCTTTTTCTTCAGCCTCTGTGAAGGGCGAGATTGGTGGTGAGCTTGCTGCTGCTTCGGGGGTCTCTGCTCCTGGGTCTGTGGGTCATGACATCATCACGGAGCAGCCACGGTCGCAGCACACGCTGCAGACGGACTCTGTGGATCTGTCTGGCTGCGACTTGGCCAGCGCTGCCACTGACGGGGATGAGGAGGACATCTTGAGCCACAGCTCCAGCCAGGTCAGCGCTGTCCCATCTGACCCTGCCGTGGATCTGAACGATGGGACCCAGGCCTCCTCGCCCATCAGCGACAGCTCCCAGACCACCACTGAAGGGCCTGACTCAGCAGTCACCCCTTCTGACAGTTCTGAAATTGTAAGTGGGCAGAGGGTTCACCATCTTCCAGAGCTCCTGTGTGTACTCCTTAGCTCTTTCCTGGAGGCCAGACCCGGGTCCTCCTGCTCATTGTTCTCCTGTCTGACCTCAACCCCCCGACCAGTAACAGTACAGCACAGAGGCTGCCTGCTCAGGTCTCTAATGGAGGGCTGGGTCTTGTCTGATACCTTCACCAAGGAAACAGCCTAGTGTCTTTTGAACACGAGGGTCAAAAACTAGATGAGCTGATTGTAAGCCCTGCTGAACTATGTTCACTTGACTTTCTTTAAGATCTTTTATTGGGCCCTCTTTAATTTATTGTGTTTTAAATTCCCAAGGAGCCCATTATTATATAAATCTGTAGTCTTCAAGAAACTTGATTGATAACAATAGTGTAAATTATTTTCAACCCTTTTTTTGATTTTTCAGAAGCATCTTCAACATATTCCATTTTATAACAGTATGAATTTCAGTCCCTTTATTCATGGACAACAATCAGGGTTGTCTAATCAGAAACTTTGGTACAAATGTATGCTGAATTTTATGCCCCTTATTTTTCTTTTTTATTTTTTTACTGTAGTAATGTATGCATAACACAAATTTTACTATCTTAACCCTTGTCCCCCACCCCCACCCCCTGCCTTAGTGGTGCTTGGATTGATGTCTGGACCATTTTGAGGTGTGAAGTTCTGTGGCATTGAAATACATTTGAACGTTGTCATGCAACCATCACCATCATCAAACTCTGCCATTCTTTTCATTTCCCTAAACTTGAACTCTGCCTCTGCGGAACCCTAACCCCCTCTCCAGCCCCTGGAGACCACCGTTCCCTTTTCTGTCCCGAGTATGGCTTGGGTCCTTCACACAGCTGTGGGGTTGGTCTTCTGCATTTGGCGTGTTTCATTTCTCATCCTGTCAGGATTTCACTTAGTAGTTGTCAGAATTTCTCAGCTTTTTAACCCTAAACAATATTCTATATATGGATTGACCACATTTTGCTTATTGCTTCTATATTTTAACTGTTGAAATTTGTGCTGTTTTGAACAGGGACATTGATATATCTCTGTTTTCTGTTCTTTTGGATGTGTACCCAGAAGTGGAATTGTTTTTACATCCCAGGTTTAATTTTAAGAAGTTATGTAATTAAATGTTTTACTACTATTGAGTATATTTTATTAAGGACATGGTGTGAATTTTTCAGCTTGTCTCTAAATTTTAAATTATGCAGAATATTTCTAAAATGAGATGCTGGAATGAATATAAAACACTGAATTACAAATAAGGAGTAGAGCATGCATTGAGATGTGGCCACAATAGTGCTGGTCGCCTCCCCTGCCCCTGTGCTGTCATCAGCAGCTTATTGTCCTGATGTGCCTTCAACTTGGAGCTCTGAGCTCACAGATCTTTAAGGAGCAAAGCGTCTGCCCTTGGCCTGGTTCTTCTAATTTATGAGGTGCTTCCATATTGTTTAATCTCTTAATTGTTTTAAATTAAATTTATCTTTTAAACGATAAATTCATTGATTACCTCTTTTCTAGGATTGTTCCAAAAGTGGGGGGTGAAGTCTAAGCTCCAATTCCTGAAACTCCTCTTTCCTTTGACTGATATTCAGGGCAAGGGTTGTCAGACCTTTCTAGAAGGGGTCAGATAGAACGCAGTTGGTATTGTGGGTTGTGTGGGCTCTGTGGCCAGTTCAGCTTCTCTCATCTCTCTTGCTGAGTGTGAAAGCTGACTCAGGCAGCATGTAAACATCAGGCAGCACGGTCTTCCAGTAAACCCCTGTTTGAAAGTAGGCCCTGCGCCAGGTTTGACCCCTAGGCCATCATTTACCCACCCTTTTCCTAGAGAGTGCTCATGTGCTGAGGACAGATGATAAACCAGCAGATTACATAAATAAGCGCATAGGCAGGTGGCAGGAAGTGCCTCAGAGAAAAGTGAGCCAGGATGCACACACTCCCTGTGCCGGGAGGAGCCTTGGCTCTGGCTGTGTGGCCCAGAGTCCTGTATCCCTTCTGTGTCTCACTTTTCTGTTCCATGAAGGTGAGGCTGATGGGTACTGTGTCTCTTGGAGACGAAGGAGGCACTGCACGTGAAGCATGGAGGATGTGTGGTGCTTCCATTCCACAGCAGACAGCCTTCTGGGCAGTGAATGTTATTAACTAGCTCAACCTGTGGGAGGTCAGCCTTCAGGAGGTAGGCAGAGGAAATACCTTTCTTCATTGCTTTTGAGTAGGTAGCTTGATTTTTTTTTTTTCTTTTTTCTTTCATGAGGAATTTGGAATGTTTTTTTAAAAAATGATACAGTAGTATAATCATTTCAATAGTAATTTACTAGTCGTCTTAGAAGCCATTGATCATTTTTTTCAGATAAATCATACAGAAGATTTCAAGTGGATATGAGATGTTTAACAGGATGGAATTATGATCCGAGCTTATGGCTAAACAATAGCACTTATTTTTGTTGAGAAGTGTTGTCTTTATTTCTAAGTTACCATAAAATTTATTCTCAGAGACATGAGTTTTCATTGGGTTTTTTGTTTTTATATCAATGAGAGAAGTTTTTTGTTTGGAATATTTTTGAAATTTCAGAGTTGTAAAGCTTAAATACAGTTGTGGATGTGCAGCACACTCTTGGTGGTTTCTACACATATGTTGATGCGCACTGCGTGGTCTTGGTTTTGTGTGTGTCACATGCCCTGTGCTGTTTGTGGCTTTTGCCTTGCTGCATTGGACGGCTGGCACCTTAGTGATCACACTTCAGAATGCTCACAGACCCCTTTGTTCCATTAGGTTTTAGACGGTGCTGACAGCCAGTCCTCGGGCATGCAGCTCGGACTGCCGCAGGAGGATGAGGAGGAAGCTGCAGGGGCTCTTCCTGATGAGGCCTCGGAAGCCTTCAGGGGCTCCTCTCTGGGTGAGCCAGCCATAGGTGCTGCACGGGAAGTGCTCTTGCTTTCAGCCTTGACTTCTTAATTTCATCTTGCTTCTAAGAACAAGCCTTTTGGTACCTTTGTTTTTGGAATTGTCAACAGCAGATCAAAATGGCCCATTTAGGAATGATCATACTTTCTTGATCTAAATTGTGCTTTTATATGATTATTGTGTAGCTGTGCATGAGTGTCTTTATTGGAAGCTTGTCAATCTTTATTTTTTTATTTTTGAAGCCCTTCAACAAGGTCATTTATTGGAAAGCATGGGTCACAGCAGACAGCCTTCTGACAGCAGTGTGGATAAGTTTGTATCAAGAGATGAAGCTGTTGAGTCTGCTGATCAAGAAAACAAGGTGAGCTACTTAGGCGGGAGGCAGCTGGGTACTCCTGACCTGCCTTGGCTCCTGTTGACTGCTTTCTGTCTCTGGGCACTGACCACCCCCCAGGCTACCTTCTTCTCTGTTGCTCTAGGGACTACACAGATTCATTCTCTCTGGAGAGTCCTGCCCTGACACATCTGCTGTGTGCTGAGCACTGGCCTGGTTTCTTGGGCCGTTCGTTTGATGATGCCTATGCATGGCCTTGTAACATTTCTTGTTTTCATTTTGTTGCACAGTTGAAAATGTCCCTTTTTATAGTCTTAATCTTTTACATACAATTTTACTGTCTTCCTAGTTAATTGATAGCAGTGGGAGTGTTTCATAGCATAGTCTCATCCAGTAGAAGGGCATCCTCCAGCAGTTCCTTCCAGGTCCCCCTTGTACCAGGCCTATTCCTTCTAACCTTGTGACTTCTGCTTCCTGGCTTCTTCATGTCCAGGGCACCCTCCCTGCCTGCTAGTCCTCAGCCACAGACCCATGACCCATGTCATAGGGCTCTGACCTCTCATGTATGAGGGCACCTCTGTCCCCAGCATATGGCATGATTGCTGTTCTGGAATTATTTGTTGAATGAGCTAATGAATGAAGGTATTGGTTCTCTGGTTGTAAGGCACACAAATGTCCCTTTCTCTGTTCTAGCCTTGCCGAATCAAAGGTGACATAGGGCAGTCCACTGATGATGATTCTGTCCCTCTGGTCCATTGTGTCCGCCTTCTCTCTGCTTCATTTTTGTTAACTGGGGGAAAAAATGGTAAGCATGGAAGGGCAATTGCAGAGGTGAGATTCTTGGGGTTTCAGAGGTCAGCATGGTGACCAGTTTTCACCTCGTTATTGGAGAGAGCTTTGCTTTCCATACACTCATAGGAGGAGGGAAGAAATGAGGGGCAGGTAGCATATTGGGTCCAGATTTGTTGATTTGAAGAAGCTGAAGGTGGCCCTTGTGGTTTTTTTTGTTGTTGTTTTTTGTAGCCCTGGTTCCAGACAGGGACGTGAGGGTTAGTGTGAAGGCTCTGGCCCTCAGCTGTGTTGGGGCAGCTGTGGCTCTTCATCCAGAGGCTTTCTTCAGCAAGCTGTATAAAGTACCTCTCGACATCACAGAGTGCCCTGGTACGTTCACAGTTCTCCTTTTTTCCCTCAAATTGTATCACTATTTTTAAAACTATTTCCGACAGTTATGGCGCTTTCAGTTTTAGAGCAGTGTTTCAAGTTAGTTTGTGCATGTGAGCTGTGTTGTAGCTTTCCATAGACACATAAATAGTAATCGTCCTGGTTTCACGGACTCCTTTTAGATGCTGTGTTTGTAATGGAAATACACGAAAGAAGAAAATTGAAGGCTGGGAATATCAGAGCTATTTATGTACATACTGGATTTATACCTAAAGCACAAACTACGTTGTCAAAATTGTTCTGAGTCACACTCTTTTTGGCCAGCCATTCACACTCACAGATGAGCAGGGACCAGCTGAGGCTAGCGAGGGCAGCAGCAGGCCCCGTCTCCTCTCCCGTGGTCATTGAGTAGTAGAAATTATCCCCTGCCTTCTCTGTGTCTTTTTCTGTGGGCAAGATGGCACATTTTGCTGTTGAACTTACACCAAGTAAGTGTGTAATAGTTTAAATTTTTCTAATCTTTATTTTGAAAAAAAAACTTGGAATACTGGTTGTTATCTGAGAGCCTAGAATTATAATCCAGAAAATCTGTTATATTGAGGAGGTATCAGCAATATGATGAATCTAAAATCCTTAAACACCAGAATGTTTTTTGCCATTTAGGTTTATTATAGCCAAGTTACTTACAGATTTGTAAAGCCCCCACTCTTTTTCTTTTTTGAGAATTAAGCTTTTAGTTTGAGGTAGAAAGTTGATGGTTGCTGGTTGGTAGGAAGTTGTACAGTGACCAGGCAATTTGTCCCCACAGAGGAACAGTATGTGTCAGACATCCTGAACTACATCCACCATGGAGACCCGCAGGTCAGAGGAGCCACTGCCATTCTCTGTGGGACCCTCATCTGCTCTATCCTCAGTAGGTCCCGCTTCCATGTGGGCGACTGGCTGGGCACCATTAGAACCCTGACAGGTAACTGCCAGTTCCCAGTAGTAGTCTTTTCCCGATTCCATTGCCATGTGAAGTTCATGTGAAAATGTTTATCACATGTTCTTCTGCTCAGGAAATAAATTTTCTCTGGTGGACTGCATTCCTCTGCTGCGGAAAACTTTGAAGGATCAGTCTTCTGTTACTTGCAAGTTGGCTTGTACTGCTGTGAGGGTGAGCACAGTCTTGTGTAAACCATTCCTTTGATGGGTGGACATTTTACCATTGTTAATAGTTAAAATTAGAGCTTGATTGGAAAAATTCTCACACATTCTAAAGCTGTAAACAGTAATTAGTGTGTGTGTCCATCACTCAGCCTTAGAAAAGGCATTGCCAATCATGTTAAAGCTTAATAAACTTTAAATTTTAATCCTTAAAATATGCTTTCTCCTAAAGGGAGGGTATGTTTAGAAATACATCTTGCTATTATTAAATGTAAGATCTGTACAATTAAAAAAATACTGTCTTAGGCCTACAAAAATGCCAGAAGTCAAAGTGAGCCCTACGGATAGTCTTGGTCCCTGAATTTAGTGCATGTGGGACCTTTATGGCTCATAAATCACAGTTCACAGTCAACAATGGTAAAAATCAACCAGTAAAAGTCAGAATGAGAAGCACCCTGCGTTAGTCAAATGTGTGGGAAAAAAATCTCCCTTCTAAAAAAAATCTTATGGCCTGATAATAATTTTTCTTTTGTTCCAATTTTGCCAAGTCTGAGTCAGCCATGTTTCCTTTTTTTGTTTTTTCAATACCTTTATTTTGTTATTTATTTTTATGTGGTGCTGAGGATTGAACCCAGCACATTGCACGTGCTAAGCCAGCACTCTACCACTGAGCCACGACCCCAGCCCTCATGTTTCCTTTTGAGCAGAAGCAGGTCAGGCGTAGACAGCAGAGTTGTACTGTTAGCTGGGAGTCAACACACTCAGAGGTCTTGGGGCCACAGAAGCTCTGCTGTGGTTCCCTCGTGCAGTGAACAACACAGGAACCTCCACCGGGTACTCCTTGGTGTGGGGCCCTTGCCCTTACCTAGCCTAAGGTTTATGTTGAAAGTTGGTGGTAGGACCCAGGTGTTGTGGTGCACACTTGTAATCCCAGAGGCTTGGGAGGCTGAGGCAGGAGGATTGTGAGTTCAAAGACAGCCTCAGCAACGGTGAGGCGCTAAGCAACTCAGACGCTAAAATACAAAATAGGGCTGGGGATGTTGCTCAGTGGTTGAGTGCCTCTGCCAAAAACAAAGTAAGTAGGTGGTAGGATTCTGTTGTACATGTCCCTTATAACCAATGATGAGTATTCTTGAAATTGCTGTTTGAGAGTTGAGGCCATGACGTGGGAAAAAAATGAGCAGAAGAAAGAAACAAAATTATGTGAGAGGGACACGTACTTTTAAACTTGATTTTACTAAGGTAAAATGTGTACCATGAATATTTATAAGAGCCTCCTGCTTCTCTGTTTTGAAAGCCACAAAGCTAGCTGGCACGTGTGTGGGCATGCTGTTTAAGGGCATCAGTGTGGCTGCTGGTGGCTGACCCCACTGTCCTCCCCCTGACTTCTTCCAGCTCTGTGTCATGAGTCTCTGCAGCAGCAGCCACAGTGACCTAGGGCTGCAGCTGCTCATTGATGTGCTGGCGCTGAGGAGTAGCTCCTACTGGCTGGTGAGAACAGAGCTCTTGGAGACTCTTGCAGAGATGGACTTCAGGTGAGTGAGTTGAGTTCCTTGGTGTAAGGTATGTAAGCTCAGAAGCTCACTTGAGAGTAGAAAGTCCTGGGCCACTTGCTGTAGTTAGTGATGGTGCTATAGCTCCTGTCTGTCCCACGTCTATGGCGGTCAGGTGGAAGACGGCGCTGTCCTCCTTTCCAGGGTGTTTTAGCTCTTTGTCTTTTTGCTTTTACAAAATTAAAAATAAAGAAATAAATAAATTCAGGCAGAAGACCAGATGTTTCTGGTAGTCTCCGTTGGGTGTTATGGGTAGTGGGCGTAAGAGCCCTGAATTTTCTCACCTTGTCTTAAACTTTTGTTTTCAGTTTGTAGATGGACACAATACCTTTATTTAATTTCTTTATTTATTTTTTTGGTGCTGAGGTGCTGAAGATTGAACACAGTGCTTCACGAAACGTGCCAGGCAAGCGCTCTTCCACTGAGCTATAGCCCTTGTCTTAAACTTTTTTTTTTTTTAACCATATATATTCTGTTTTTCATTATACTGAACATAAGAGAGGCTGTTGGATTGCATTTTGTTGCAATTAAAAACTAATTTGAGTTGGTATAATCCCCATAGCTCGGGAAGCTGAGGCAAGAAGATCGCTAGTTCAAAGCCAGTCTCAGCAATTTAATAAGACCCTAAGCAACTTTTCGAGAGCCTGTCTCTAGAAAAGAAATAAAAAGGGCTCAGGATGTGGCTCATTCATCTCCTGTCATTTTGAGGAAGTGCTGGTTCTGAGAGTTCCTCTGGCCCGTGTGCAGCTTTGAGGCCCAGCCGCAGAGCAGTGCAGGCTGGCCCTGAGTGGCTGGTGTCACTGTTGATATGTTCTCTTGTTAGGCTGGTGAGCTTTTTGGAGGCAAAAGCAGAAGCCTTACACAGAGGAGCTCATCATTATACAGGGGTAAGCAGCTCGTTTTGTGAGACTGTCCTGCCTTCCAGGAACCTGTGCTGGCAGGGCCTCCGAGTGGTATGAAATTTCTCTGAATGCTTGATGAAGGTGTGACTGTCTGGTGTGAATTTAAGACAAGTCATCTTGAGTTCTTGCTCACCCGCTTTCTAAATACCTCAGATTTGGTCAAATACAGAGATTATGTTTATTTTTATTACCTCTAAAGCTTTTAAAACTGCAAGAACGAGTGCTCAATAATGTTGTCATCTATTTGCTTGGGGATGAAGACCCCCGGGTGCGACATGTTGCCGCAGCAGCATTAGTAAGGTATTTGCCAGTGCTTTATCTCTTCACTCTTGTAGTTGAGGTGTAAATAGTAAGAGAATGGGAAGAGTGGGAAACTCAGAGGGATAAGGAAGTATTTTCAAGTCTCTTAGCTTGTTTTAAACATTTCTCCTCTTAACTACAAAAAAAAAAAAAAATTCGGTAACCTGAGTCAAATGATAATTTAAAAAGACTAATCTTCTAATTTAAAAGTAATATATTTGCATTGTTAAAATTTTGGAATATAGAGAATAACACTAAGAAGGAAAAAAGTCACCTTCAGTTCAGATGGCCTCCTGGCAGTAGGCTGTGCCCTGTGCACCAGAGTTTCTGTTTCTGACACGGCTCAGGCTTAGCCCTGGGAGGGGGCGGTTGGGGACCTTGGGTGAGTCTCACGTGCCTTCTGAGTATATCAGCCTTCCTTTCACGGTAGGCTTGTCCCAAAGCTGTTTTATAAATGTGACCAAGGACAGGCTGATCCAGTGGTGGCCGTGGCAAGAGATCAAAGCAGTGTTTACCTGAAACTCCTCATGCACGAGACGCAGCCTCCATCTCACTTCTCCGTCAGCACCATAACCAGGTAGGTACCTCTGTCCCCAGGCTTGTTGGCAGAGCAGGCCTCTCCTGGCACCCTCCTGGGGTGTCACCTAATGGTGTTGACTTTCCTGAAGAAGATAGGTTAGGTCAGGATGCTGGAGCAGGTCTGCCTTTGGAGACCTCCTGTCTCTTTTAAGGATGGGCATGCCGCCTCTGTGGCGAAGCCCTGCCAGTCACACAGTGGCAACTTCAACAGGCTTGTCTCTTGTCATGAGTGCATCGCCTCCCTCATGCTGACTACTACATGTGTGTGTTGTTCCCACGTGTGACCTGAAAGCTTGTTCATTGAATACTCTCACTTATTGATGTCCCCTCTGAAGAGAGTGTTACTCCTGTGACTCTTCCTTCAGGCGGGTGGGCTAGTACCAAGTGACCATGCTGTTTGGGGTGGCCCCAGTTCAGGGAGTGAGGTGCTGCCTCTTGGCCTGTGTTGTGCAAGCCTGGGCCATGTCCACCAGCTACATAGACTCCCTCCCACCTTCTAGGTGAGCACTGCAGGAGCATGTTGACGATGGCGCAGGTGTCTTCCGAAGACTGCAGAAGTGATTGTGCTGTGCCTTTAAGCTGTCTTTTAAGTGTTATTTTGAATGTTGATTTTATATGATGCTCTCCTTTTTGTTGGAGTTTTTTTTTTTTTTTTTAAGGTGACCAAGTGATTTCTTAGTTAAAATGATCACTTAGTGGAACTCAGCAAAATCTGAAGTCATTCCTCCCAAATAAATGTATTTTCTTGTGTAAAGACCACTTAAAAAAACAAACACAGAGCTTGTTTCTGGGCTGTCTTCTGTCTCCTTTTTAGAGAGTGTCCTTTTTTAACCTCAGAGCAGGTGTTTTCCTGTCTCTGAAAAGACTCAGTGTAAATATTCCTTGAAGACAAATGGAAGCAGTGTGAGACTTTGATTTTGAAGAATTTGGCAATCTTAGAGTAAATGGCTATTTTTATTTATTTATTTTTTGTTTAATTGATTTTTTTTAAATACACGACAGCGGAATACATTACAATTCTTATTACCCATATAGAGCACAATTTTTCATATCTTTGTATATAAAGTATGTTCACACCAATTCATGTCTTTATACATGTACTTTTTTTTGCATTACAATTCTTATTACGCATATATACCACAATTTTATATCTCTGTTTGTATATAAAGTAGGTTGACGAATTGTGTCTTCATACATGTACTTTGGATAATGATGTCCATCACATTCCACCGTCCTTGCTAATCCCCTGCTCCCTCCCTTTCCCTCCCACCCCTCTGCCCTATCTAGAGTTCATCTATTCCTCCCATGTTCCCCCTCCCTACCCCACTATGAGTCAGCCTCCTTATATCAGAGAAAACAGTCGGCATTTGTTTTTTTGGGATTGGCTAACTTCACTTAGCATTATCTTCTCCAGCGCCATCCATTTACCTGCAAATGCCATGATTTTATTCTCCTTTATTGCTGAGTAAAATTCTGAGTAAAGGCCTTTTTTAAATGCTATTTCAGAACAAGAATACAAGAGGGCAACAGAGATAGGTCTAACATGGCAGTAAAATGGTCGCCAGCTACTGCTTTGAAAAGTCATGCAGTTGCAGACAGGAGCTCTCCTCTGGGCACCCAGCTGTGCTCATCTGTGTCTGTGTGGCAGACAGGTTACCAGCACACCCAACCGCCTGCTCTGTTAGAATCTCTGATTCTCCAGTTTCCTTGTTGAATGTTGTGTGGAAAAGGTTGTGAGGGACATGAAAGTGAATCTTATGTGATTCCTATGTGGGCTTCATTTAAAGCATTGGGAAAGCAGAGTTTGCAGGGCAGAAATGGACAGATGGCACGGATGGAACATGGAGACAGTGCCTGAGGGGCCCAGTAGTGCAGAAGGGGATCTCTTCCATGTTGGGTTCAGGGTTGCTTTGGGTACCTCCAGCTGGAGGGATGCTGGATGGTAGGTGAGGTGTGAGGAGCACAAGCCCTGGTACCGCTAAAGGTGCCTGGAGGGTACGGATGGGTGCTCAGCCTTTCGTTCCATATATGACCAGATTTATTTCTAGTCTTTCCTTAACTTTAAAGTTGAGTCTTTTAAAGTTTTGTCTTCTTCCAGACTGTATTTTCATTTATTTCTCATAGTGTTAGGGACTGAACCCATGTCCTTGCACATGCCAGGAATGTGCTCTACCACCTGAGCTTTACTGTCAGCTTTGGTATCTGATCTTAAAGGTTTTAAGTGACATTTGACCTTGAAAAATACCATATGCTTTAATGATGGATCTCAAATCTCTCTTTTTTTCTTTATAGACTCTATAGAGGCTATAGCTTATTGCCAAACATAACAGACGTCACTCTGGAAGGAAACCTCTCGAGAGTGATTGCTGCAGTGTCTCACGAGCTCATCACCTCAACCACACGGGCGCTCACAGTGAGTCTCTTTCTCAGATGGGTCTAAGGAATTATTTCCAGCGTGTCTTGTGATCAGTTGTGGTCATAGTGGTGAGGCTCTGGGTCAGACCTTCAGCATCTATGGAGCCTTCTTAGGGACTGTGCTTTGTCATTGGAATCTTGGCTTGTTCCAACAGGAATGGTGAAGAGCTCTTTATTTCTGATTGTTGAAGTAATACATGCTCAGTTTAAAAAAAATAATAATAATCAGCTAATTTAGGAAAGCACAAAAATGAAATAAAAAAATCACTAGAATCTGAATTGATAATGTGATAATGTATTAGAAGGTTACCATATCTCCAATAAAATTAACTTAATGATTATATATAGTAAGGGGAAAAAATCAGAAATGCCAACACAGATATTTTGTATAATTAACTATATCTTTTTTATGATGCTGAAATTGAAAAAGATCTCTAATATCCAAAAATCCAGGAATGATCAAATTTTTTATTATGATTTAATTCTTAACATTATGCTTTGGAGAAATTTTAACAGTGTGTAGAGATAAAAATCTGGATTATAATGTTGAATGAGAAAGATAGACTACAAAACTGTGTGTGTGGGTATGTTTGGTTGGGTTAGAGGTAAGAAAAATACTGCTCATGAATATATACTTCTCACGTACTCAGAAAGTGACTAGCAAAAGTTGCCAAGATGAGGTTTTCAGTCTGTGGGTGATTTTCACTTTCTTCTTTAGGTTTTTCAAGGAGTCCCAAATTTTCTAATATGAGCAAGTATGACTTTTATAATAAAAAAGAACAATTTGGGGCTTGGGCTGTGGCTCAGCAGTAGAGTGCTTGCCTAGCATACATGAGGTACTGGGTTCGAGTTTCAGCACCACATAAAAATAAATAAATAAAATAAACATTAAAAACACTTATTAAAAAAAGAACACTTATACAAACGTAATGTTAATTTTCTGATTAGTAGGCCTTTTTGTTTATGTGATAAAAAATACTTGGATATTACAGAAAGCTCAGACAACGGATTCCTCTGTCTTGCTAAGTAAATAATTGCTTTTGAAACCTAGATGTGTTAAAGGGATCATACACTTGATATATTTTGTTGTGGCCTCTGTGTAGCAAACACTGTTCTAGGCTTGGGATGCAAAACCCTCATGCTGATTTCTGCAGTCTGGTGGGAGAGATTGACTGAAGTCAACTGGCTTCAATTGAAGTCAACTGAAGTCAACCTTCCCCTGCAGCTCCAGGCCTGCGCTGACCACCTCTGGCCCCCCCTTTCCTGGGAAATGGTCTGCCCGTAGTAAGACTCTTATTTTAGTGGTCTAGCCGTATGTCTTTTTAGAGTCTGAATTTGCACCCCCGCCTCCTGCCCCATAAACAGCCTGATGGTTATCGCAGACTCAGTGTTCTCCCAGTGGTTGGTAATCTTTATGCAGGGCAAGCCCTCTAGGTGGTTGGGTGTAACATTCTCACTCCTATCTTCTGTAGTTTGGCTGCTGTGAAGCTTTGAGTCTTCTTTCCACGGCCTATCCAGCTTGCATCTGGAGTTCAGGGTGGCATTGTGGGTATGTATTCCCTCTGTATATAGTTATTCCAACTACACGCTACAGCTGTAGTTACTGGAATACTTTTTTTCTTTCTCTTAATGTTTTTGTTAAGTTGGCTTTTTTGAAATGTACCTGAGAGAATACTTGTTTTTGCCCTATTGTGAAAACTAGTGAGAGGAGCTGTTGGAAAATACTGAACTAGTGGTCATTCTAATGAATGCCAAATGTTCTTAGGCATCCTAGGCATTCAAGAGTGTGATTTCTGGGTTCATTTAAGGGAATTTTCATATTTAGGCAAGAGACTCTCCACTTCCCAGAATATAATCAGTTATCTTCTTAGTATGCATGAGACCCTGGGTTCAATATCCAGCACCAAAAAAGAAAAGGACTAAAACTTGGGATAAAAGAAAAAGTGATAGTAGTGTGGATAGTTTAACAGTAAATTTTCAGTGCAAAAACAAATGCAAATTTGCAAATATCTGTTTTATTCTTAAAAATAGCTAAGAAGGGGCTAGGGTTATGGCTCAGTGGTAGAGTGTGCACCTTGCACATATGAGGCACTGGGTTTGATCCTCAGCACCAAATAAAAATAAATAAAGGTACTATGTCCATCTACAACTAAAAATATATATATATTAAAAAAATAGCTAAGAAACTAAACAGCTGACAAGCCTTTTTTAATTGGTTTGATTCTTCCCCAAATTACTCTGTGTAATAAAAATCAAGGCTGGGTACAATGATGCATGCCTATAATCCTAACAACTCAGGAGACTGAGGCAGGGGGATGGCAAATTTTGAGGCCATGTTGATCGCAAGTTATGAGACCCTATCTCAAAATAAAGTGGCTGGGTGTAGCTCAGTGGTAAAGCGCCCTGGATTCAAGCCCTGGTACCCCCCAACCCTCACAGGTAGTGCATGAAGTTGTGATGAGCTGTGAGGTATACTTTGGAACTGTGGTGCTTACCTTAACAACTTTCATTTAAAAGTCCTTTCCCTCCATATATGGCCTGCCAGCAAGTGCGCAGTAGTGCTGGGTCTCCTGCTGCACTAGGGAGTGGGCTCCATGTGTTCCTAGGACTGAGAGAGACCGTGGGGACTCCTATCACTTTGGAAGTGATGCAGACTTCTTGTCTGTCACATATGGCCAGCTAACATTTGCTTTAAGTGGGTCACATTCTTGTGACGACTCGACTTTCATGGGAAGAAGGGAACTAGTGACTGAGCAGCTACGGTTTCTGATCAGAAGTGCAGCACTAGACTTGACTCCCGAGCACCTTTGGCATAGGAGTAAGATGTGCTAATTCAAATGCTGAAAAAAACCTGAAGTGACTTTCTGAGCTGGTTTAGCGTGTTGTGAAGTGCCTTCCTCCTGGAGTGCGAGGCTCTTGCCTGAGCCGATGCCCTTATTTGGCCTTGTCTGTGTCTTGCTTGCAGGGTGCCCCCACTGAGTGCCTCTGAGGAGTCCAGGAGGAGCTGCACTGTGGGGATGGCCACCATGATGCTTACCCTGCTCTCCTCAGCTTGGTTCCCCCTGGATCTCTCAGCCCATCAAGATGCTTTGGTTTTGGCCGGAAACTTGCTTGCAGGTACTGATTCCAAATTGGAAGAGATACTCAGGGACTGTAGCTTCTGATTTCCTTATGAGGAGTGCCACTGGTGGAAAACACATAAGGGAAGAAAAAAAATCTCGTGAATCATTGACAGGCATATCTTGTCACAACTTTAGGTGTTGCTGTATGAATGTGTTTATAAGCAGCCATTCTGTGCTGGGTATTTTAAGGTATCCTTTTCCCAGTCCAGCCCCTTGGCTGGCTGTGGTAAACTCATCTTGAGTTTCATTTTAGTGGGTACCAGTACCAGGCACTGTTGTAAGCCTGAGGGCCATAAGAAGGTACGGTGTATGGGTGCCATTCTCAAGTTGGTTAGACTGGAAAGGATTTATACACAAAAGCCGGGGGCAGCACCGAGTGGCTGTAAGTAGCTTCTTTGTGCAGATTTATGGGCTGGCAGGAAAGGGCACACCAGATGGGGTCTGGCACATGCAGAGGCATGGAGATGTGACATTGGGGGGAAGATAAGTCACTGTAGATGGTCATGTGAGGAAATGAGAGAGGAAAATATGGCCAGTGAGGAGGGCAGAGTCCACTAAAACTGGATTGGGGAGGGGTTGTTCTCTTGGCTTTGGGAAGCCATTGACTGGTTTCATGAAAGGGACTAAGAGTCCAGGTCTTGTAGGAAGGCTGTTCCACTGGCTGAGTAAGTGCTGCAGGAAGAGGCGGGGAACTCAGTTACAAGGTGGATGTTGAACTTCAAGCCAGAGACAGTCCAAATAGATCATGTCTTTGGAATTGGAGGGGGAGACTGAAAGGGTGAAGGAGGCAGAATCACAAGGCCTTGGTCTCTAACTGAACCTTTGTTGTGAGGATGTGGAAATTGGAAACGTAGATTTTGGGGGGCATGTCACTTGCATGTTGAATTTGAGGAGTCCATTGAACATCAGGTGCAGAAGTCCAGCAGAGTCTCAGCATAGCTGGGTCTAATGACATATGTCCCCCAAGCAATTTTCTCATATCGTGGAGGTTAGAAGTAACATGTGCACCTGTGTCACAGCCAGCGCCCCCAAATCTCTGAGAAGTTCATGGACCTCCGAAGAAGAAGCCAACCCAGCAGCCATCAGACAGGAGGAAGTCTGGCCTGCTCTGGGGGACCGGACCCTGGTGCCCATGGTGGAGCATCTTTTCTCTCACCTGCTGAAGGTGATCAATATCTGTGCCCATGTGTTGGATGATGTGGCTCCTGGGCCAGCAATCAAGGTAACTTCTTCCTCAGGACGGCTGGTGTACTCCAGTTCTCATGGCTATGGGTCTCTGGGCCACCTTTCTTTAGAAGTCTGCTCCTTATTCTCCTTTGCTCTAAGTAAACAAAATTGGTCCCATCCTGCCAGTACATTCAGCATCAGAACAAGGGCTCTGCTCCTCCCCATCAGCTCCTGTGGTCCCGTGGAGAAGCCTGCCCCTGCCTAGGCTCTTGGTGTGTCTTGATTCTTTTCATCCTTAAGCCTCTCATATAGCTCCATGCTTGCCTGTCTATAGCTCTGTCTCCTATCCTCACAAGCTCTTCTTCTTTGGTCCTGTGTGTCTGGACTCTGCCCCCTCTTCAGCCATCCGTTCTTTAACCCTTTCTGTTCTGATTTTTTTCACCACCCTCTGGAACATTCTTCCTGCCAGGGTCATGTCTTTAAATCTCTAGGGCACTTCCCTAGCCCTGTCTCTTCTCCCCTCTGTGGACTCCAGAGACCCCCTTCCCCATCTAAGCCTTCACTCTAGTCTGCTCCCTAGTGGCTTCAGATTTCCTCCATCCCTCCCTAAAACTGTGGTCCAGTGTTTGTTGTCCACCTTTAAGTTTCTTTCCTAGGGCTGCTGCACATGTGCTCTCCCTGGACACGCACCGGAGCTGTCACAACTCTTCCCCTCTGCTCACAGACATCTTTGAGCTTAATAAAAATTTAACAAGCTGGAAACTCAGCCCCTAAGTCACACTAGACACATTCTGAGGGCTCAAGAGTCACACGTGGTTAAGTGGAGAATATCCTGGCTGATCCAGACATGGAACATTCCCACTGTGGCAACAAGTCCCCTTGGACAGTGCTTTATGCCTGTTCCTGACACAGTCACAGAGTGCCCCCATTTCCTTCTTTTGGAGGGGATGGGCCTGGGGGCTCTAACAGCCTCAGGCCCTCCTGACTCCCTGAGGGACCTGTCCATCTCCAGCCCATTTGCCATGCACCTGTGAGGACGTTCTGGGCTGTACCTGCTATGGTTGTGGTGTGGGACAGGGTACGTACAGTGGCTAGGCTCTGTAAAAATGGGTTCAGAGAGCACAGTGAATTGCATGGGTTAGTGCTTTTCAACACACAGTAAAACCACATATTGTAGTCTTCGATTTTCTGTATTTGCCACTTGTGTCTTGTTTTTGTTTTCTACTTTAGGCAGCCTTGCCTTCTCTAACAAATCCCCCTTCTCTAAGTCCCATTCGACGAAAGGGAAAGGAGAAGGAACCAGGAGAACAAGCATCTGCTCCGCTGAGTCCCAAGAAAAGCAGTGAGTCCAGTGCAGGTAGGAAGCTGCGGGGGAGAATGGGCTGCTGTGTGTTGTGCAGCGCGTGAGCTCATGCTGCCTTCGGAGTCAAGCCCAGCTTGGCACTTGGTGCTTTATGGAAATCAAGTAATGGGAGTAGAGTCAGAGAAGCCTTCCCTGGGAGTGACTTCAGGTTGTACACACCAGTTACTGAATGTCTGCAGACCACCTTTGGTCTTAAGGGTCTCTAATCATCTTGCTGAAGCACATTCACTACACCTGCAGGCAGCTGGCCAGGGCACAGGGCCTGCTCTCCTGTGTGTCCTCCCTTCTGCCCTCTCTTTGAAGGAAAGGGGTGCTCTGCAGATGAGGACTCCTGGTTTTCAGTGAGGGAGATAGCGTGAATGGCTGAGAATAGGGATGGGGAGACTGATTCTGCTATAGCAGGAATTCTGAAGCCAGAAATGGAACGTTCGAGTTTGGAAGCACTTAAGAGAGGCAGTGGGGAAAAAGTCATCTGAGTTGGAGGAACACAAAAAATTCACAGGTGTTAGAGGGACTTCTACAGATGAGGAAATGTCAGAACAGAAGCCCTGGAAGTTTGATGTGACTATACGTACTGAATTCCAACTGCCCTCGCTGCTCTTACTGGGGACCTTGTCAGGGATAAGGGAGGGCAGAGCAGGAGGTATCTGTTGTTTCTGCACCCAGCTCCAGCCACATGCTTCCCCCACCGCCTCTGTGTTCCGGAGTGGTCTCGTGATACGCACATACACACAGGAGTGGCTGATTCACATGTGCATTTATTACTTTATGTACTTACCTTGTTTTTTGGAGCATTTTCGGGTACACAATAGCATTGTTACTAACTGTAGTACCTGTATTGTTCAGTAGTAGGTCTCTTGAACTTATTCCTCTATCTAAAATGAAATTTATATCCTTTGACCAACATACTAAGGCTTCTAAAAAGATGTCCCCCCCTTTTTTTTGGCCTTCTGTCTTTTTTGTTCCATATTTTTAATTGTGCATTATAGTTGTACATAATGGTGAGATTCGTTGTTACATATTTGTATATGCACACAAAAAGATGCTCTTTTCTAAGGATTGACTCAAGTACACCAGAAAGATAGACCTTTTTAAAAGCTTCGGACTGCACATGTACACAACTATCAGCATGTAGTCATCTTGCTGATGAATTAAATGAATCAAGCGCTCCACGTCAGAAGTCCTTAAAACTGTAGTAGAGACAGTTGTATATGGCGCTTGACCCTTTAACATTAAGCATTAGTTTAATGATAATGTTTGTGCTCTTTATAGTTTTCAAAACATGTCAGCCTGTTTGATTGCATAAGGGGCTGATGACTGAGTTTCCTGGGGTTAGCCCTGTGTTCTCCAAGGAGCCTTATAGGTGGGAGGGCCCTGGATTGGCAGCAGCCGTGCAGCTGGCAGACCCATGCCTTACAAAGCAGGCAGCAGCAGCAGCAGCAGCATAACATCAGTACCGCTCCTATTATTATTTTATGTTGTTTTTTTTAGGTCTCAGGTTCTGCTTCTGTGTACTAGTCAGTTTCTCCTTATATCTTATTAACCAAAAAGTTCAAGGAAAGTTTTGAGAGTGTTTCTACTAGAATACATTTAAAAGTCTTTATTGTCAGTTGGTATTTTCCTTTTGGTCTGAATGTTTATTTTATGTTATTTTAGCCTCACGACAATCCGACACCTCAGGGCCTGTCACAGCAAGTAAATCCTCCTCCTTGGGGAGTTTCTACCATCTCCCTTCGTACCTCAAATTGCACGACGTCCTGAAAGCTACACATGCCAACTACAAGGTGTGGGCCTCTGTTGCTTGCTCAAATATGCATGCACCTGTGCGTGTTTCTGGTGACTGTTCACGTTCGTATTGTGATTTATGATAGCTTGGTAGCTTTATAAATATTTTGTGGTTTCACATTAGCAAAATGATCTTTCCTGGTTTGAGGCTGTTGCACCTGGGCTTTTCTAGACCTCCCCACACATTCAGATATACCAGGAGGATTCCTGGACTCAGCATGCAGGTGTACTCACAGCATAGGCTCGGCACAGTGGGGTCCTGAGGACACACAGCCGGGTTACAGGGCAAGTGGCCCTGACAGAGTGTAGAGGGATCCCTATGCAGGCTTCCTGTGCCCTGTCCCTCTGTGAGGCTCACTTGAAAGTGCAGCATTGTGCTGTCTGCCTAATGTGAAGCAGAGCTCCAAACAGAAGAAAAGCACCTGGTTTGTGTTGAGCAAAACCCAGGTGTTTCAGATGGTCAGTAGGCCATGCATACAGCTAGGAGACGTCACCAACTCTCCTCTCCTTGGCTCCTCCTGCAGCTCAAGGCACCTTCTCCCCTGTTCTGCATAGCTTGCCTGTCGTGCCCCCACCCCACCCCCCCTCTTTCTCAGCCCTGGTTCCTTTCCTTGATTCCTGTGTTTCCACAAGACTGCTGTTCCTCTGAACTCCTGGGGCTGCCACCTTTAGCCTTGTTCTGCTTAGAGGCTAGCTAGGTCTACTTGAGGGCTTGCTCCCTCCAGGTTCCTAGGCCCTTCCCTTTCCCCTTTCCACTTCTGGAGAGGAAGCATCGCTGTGCCAATTAGAGGGGACTTTCCTCCCTGAGCTCTTATCCTCACGTGACATCACCCCATTCCTCTTGTCCTCAGTGGTCTCATTGCTAGATGTCCCTTCCTTTCCCTGGCTTGTTGAAAGCCACTCAGGCTATCCCAGCAAGCATAGAAGGTAGATCCACTCTGTTTTCACTCTGAGTCTGTCTCCTGCCTCCTTTCTCTGCCTTTGCCCATCTTGGGTGGTTAGTTTTAATATCACTGGGCACATTCTCTTCTGTTATGTTTTTGCTAGTGTTTATTTTCATACGCAGTCCCCCTCACACCCTTGTTTTTTTATACATTATGTTTTTGGTCGTGACCCATCCTCTGAGTCTATAAAATAAGGAAATTACTGTGTAATTTAATTAAGCACAATCTTTTAGAAACTTAATTTACTCCAACACTGATTTAATATTTTGTGGTAGCCGAACTGAATAACTATATTTGAAATGGTTTCTGCCAGGGATCCCAATGAATATGGCATAGGTCTTTTGTACTTTATATTTCTTGATATGTATATATCAGATACTATTTATGAGGGGCATTTAACAGTTTTTTTTCTCTTTACGACATAAGGTCAGGAATTGTTGCTTTCAGTAGTGTCAGCATAACTGGGAGAATAACAGTGTTTATGTAGCTATTTGAAAGAGTAGTTTCCTACCAAGGTTTTTGCCCAGTGCCAAAAGCAATAAGCACCTAGGTATCCTTGATTGGGAGTGTGAAGAACTGCATGCCAGGAACATCTCATGCAGAGGGCATTTGTGTCACTGTTACAGATAATCAGATTGCAGCCATGCCAGTAACCCTGTGCTCTCTCCTCTGCCTTACCAAGGTCACCTTGGATCTTCAGAACAGCACTGAGAAGTTTGGGGGGTTTCTGCGCTCAGCCCTGGATGTTCTTTCTCAGATTCTAGAGCTGGCGACACTGCAGGACATTGGGAAGGTCTGTGTCTCCTTTTTTCTCCTTGAGCTGTGGCTGATACTCCTGGTGTGTGCCCGTGGGCTGGGGCTTCTCAGGAAGAGGTCCAGTACTCCAGGCATGTCTAGGAAGCAGCATTAGTGTGGAAGGACCTCTCCCTAACTCCACATCCTCATGTCAGGCTCCTGATCCCTCTGCTGTCCCAGATAGGATGTGCGGAGGATTTATGTTTGTTTTCAGCATGTTAGTTTGGTGCTGTATAATGGTTCAGACCCAGTTTATTCTAGAAAATTTGGCTTAAAAACGTGCTGATAAAATCCTTTATTTTCTGGGGCTGGGGCTGGGGCTCAGCGGTAGCACACTTGCCTAGCATGTGTGAGGCACTGGGTTCTATTCTCAGCACCACATATAAGTTTTAAAAAAAAAGTAAAGGTCTATCAACAACTTAAAAATTAAAAAAAAAAAAAAAAAAAAAATCCTTTCTTATTTGGCCAGGTGGAAAAGGGCAAGAATAGACTCAAGATAGTGTGTGACTGGTTTTCTGTACCTTAGGAAGAAGCAGAGCTGGGGGACACGTGTTCTTTGGGTTGGTTTTGTTTTGTTTGTTTGTTCTCATTTTCATTCTGGGGATTGAACCCAGGGGCACTTAACCCTTGACCACATCCCCAGCCCTTTTCATTTTTATTTTGAGAATGGGTCTCACTAAGTTGCTGAGGTTGTCCTTGAAATTGGGATCCTTCTGCTTTAGCCCCCCAAATCGCTGGGATCTCAGGACTTCACTATGTGCCCAGTGTTCATGTTCTTTGGTTTCAAGTGCAATAATCCCCCTCCCTCCATACCACCAATTTATAATGAAAATGCTTAAGCATGTGGGAAAGTTATAGGGGTTCTGTGGTGAATACTTGAGTCATGGACCCAGAGTCTGTAGTTTTTGAACTTCTCTGGATCTGCTTCTTTGTATGTAGCAATCGTCCATAGAAACGTCATAGTGAATTCATGAAATGCTGCATTATCCCAAGATTCAAAGGTAAATAATTATCAGTTCACATTTTAATTAAGAGCGACATGAGTTGATCTTTATATTCCTAAAGTCAGGGCTACTATTCTGCATGTGTGGTAAAGGTGTATATAGAAACTTCTGTTCTGAAAATCATTGTGTTTGGGACAAGAAGAACTGGAGAATTCAGCATCTTTTCCTCCTCCCCGTGTCTTTCATATGAAGGTAGTTTTGCTCACCTCTACTTTCCTGTTTTTGTACATTTATCTTCCTTGCTGTTCCACAGAAGCCTCTATTATCTCCAGTTACAGCTTCTCCTAGGTGTTTGTACTTGGAGGTCCATTCTGCAAGGCTACAGTTTCCCTCCCTAGGCTTTCTAGTGAGGTAGGTGGGGAAGGAGCCTCTGAAGGTGGTTCTTGGCGATGGGCCTCACTGTTGTGAGGTTTCCTTTTCACTGACGTGTGATCTGGTCAGGGTTTGAAATCCATTCCTGCTGCACTATAATCCTGGGTTAGTTGCAAAGATACCATACTCTTGAGGCACCTGGTCAGCTTGAGATATGCAATGGCAGCCTAGGTTGTGACTGCTGAGGGAGAGGCAGCTGGAGCTTCCGCTGTGTGTGCCTGGGCCTGCGCTGACTGCCTGAGGGCAAGCGGCGCTCAGGGAGGCAGACCCCTGAGTGAGGCTTCAGATTTCTGTGAACTTGGCTTGTTATTAGAAGGCAAAGAGAGATTTTAGAGTAAACACAGGGTTGTTTCTTTTTGTTTTTCTAAATACCAACACTGGGAATGAAAAAAGTAATAGTAATTCCATGTCATTGACAAGTAACTTTTATTTTTCTTTCATCTTGACCTTGTTTATTCTGTCCTCCTCTTTATACATGATTGAAATTTAATGTGTGGTGGGTGCTTTGCATTATATATAATGCCCGTTTTCTCATGTAACTCCATATTGCTCTATGTCTTGTTTACTGTCTTTAAAATCTATACTACTTCCAAGCGTTTGCTTGTCATGTGCCTTGATGTAAGAAACAGCACAACTTGTGTTTTTTTGTGGCTGGGTTTGTTGAGCTTCTTGGATTTGGGTTTTATAGTTTTCTAAGTTTGCAAAATTGGGGGCTATTATTTCTTCCAATATTGTTTTTGGACCACTACCCTCCCCCCATGACATTCTAATTACCTGCACATCTGGTTGCTTAAAGTTGTCCCTAGCTTACTGATGCTCCTTTCAGTATTGTACCTTTGATTTCTTCTAGCTTTTCTTCTATGATGTTTAATTTGCTTTAAATCCTGTTAAGTGTATGTTTCATCGTTAATTTTGTGGATTTTTTATCTCTAGAAGTTTGACTTGTGTCTCCCTATTTCTCTTTTGACTACTAAACATTTTGAATATAGTTGTAATAGTTTAATGTGCTTTGCTAATTCTCAAATCTTGTTTGTTATAGGTTGGTTTTGGTTGATTGAGTACTTTCCATTATAGACTGGCCTTTCCTGCCCTTTGCACGCCTGCTGATCTTTGACTAGTTGCCCGATATTGTGAATTTTACTGTTGGCGTGGGGTCTTTTTGTTTTTCCATAAGTCCTGTGAGGTTTGTTCTGGGATTCAGTTACATAGCATGGAAACGGTTGTCTCTGTTTCCAATCCAGTGCAAACTGGATTGGTCAGATGTTTTGGAACTGTGCTTAATCTGTGCACTGATTATTCCCCTCTACCAGGAGAGGCTAGGACTTCCTGAGTGCTCCATAAAGGATGGGTTTTACCATCAGGCAGGTGAAAAGAGTGACCATTCCTGGTCCTTTGTGAGCCCTGACACTGTCTCTACTCCTGATGATTCTTTCTCGGACCTGCACTTGGGTAGTATCTTCACAAACAGGCACCGAGTGCTGGAGTCCTTCCTGTCGCCCTCCAGCCCCTGAGCTCCCCTGCTGAGCGCTGGATTCCTTGGTACCTCTCCCAGACCTCCAGAATCTATCTGTATTGCTCTCTTCCTAGTACTCTGTCTTGTGGGTCATAGGGGACTTGGGTGTCCTTGGACTCTGGGTTTTGCCTTGTCTTGATTTTCTCGGCTTGGCTTTGTCCATCTTCCTCGTGGATGACCTGGGAATTCTCAAGGCATTGATCTGGGGCAATTGCAGGCTCACCTTGTTTGCCCCTCGTCTCAGCATTGCTGCCCCTCACGGCCTGATGTCCGTGTCTTGAAAACTGCAGCTCTAAATCTTTGATCTGGACTTTATTTTTCAAACTTGTTTGTCTCAGGTAAGAATATGAGTCTACTTCCTCTCACCCTGTTCTGGCCAGAAAGGGGATATCTCTCTGTATTACATTAGATGTTAATGTCTGCAACAGGGTGCTGGTTCCTGTCACTCTGGAATTCCCAGGCCGGAAACAGCACCCATTTTCACTGTTTGCAGTGCCTGCTTCAGTTTCTTATGCCCACTAATCATTCCATACATATTTGCTAAGAAGGTCCTTGAGGACAAATTGCAACCCAAAAGCCTCTGGTTGTAATTCTTTCTGTTAGTGTTTATGAGATCCACTATGAGGCAGGAAAATTAAAAAGGGGCATATAACAGGTTCAATCCTGGAAAGTATAACCTTGAACATGAGCATATCAGAGTTTCTGAAAATACCTGACTTGTGTATTAGATACTAGCAGCACTCTGTTCCTTCTTTAAAAAAAAAAAAAAAAAAAAAAAAAATATAT